AGCACCAGTCCGTCTGGCCTCAGCGATGACCTTCTGCATCTCGTCGACCTTTCTCTTGGCACGGCCGAAGGTACCGAGCTAGTAGCAAGGAAAAAGGCGAATGTCAGTAAACGTCACGCAATTCCCTCAGTGTATTCGAGTAAATTGGACCGCGGGGAGGGGGTTGTTGGGCGACTTGGAATCCCACTGCTTCCATATGGTTGGAAAAGCATCTCATGCACTTCTCTCTTTCTCTCCCTTCTCCAAAATTTCCAAAGTCATCCAAAGCACCAACATCGCATCATCCCCCCCCCAAAAAAAAGGCCCAAAGAGGATATAAAAAGGGGGGTGGAGGAGGGGAAAAGCCCTTACTCTCTTCTTAGCCAACTTCCTGGCACGCTTATCCTGGGAGTTTCTCAACAATTCGATGACGCGGCGCTCATACGGTGCGAGACCAGCGACTTCCTTGACGATCTCTCGGACGAACGCGGTACGGCGGGACAAGGCACCCTTTCTTCTCGAGATGCGGGGGCGCTTCTCGATGGCGGAGGTTTTCTAAATATCACACACAATTCCCCATCATTAGCAAAAAAAAAAAGTTCTATCCCCATCGTTTCCCTCGATTCTCCTTTTTCTTTTCGAAAAATGTATCTCCCAAACAACTTCACGGGTGATATTGTGTGTGTGTGTGTCTGTGTGTGTGGAGGGGAGGACAGGGAGACGTACATGGCCCTTGTTCAAGCCGAGAATGAGTCCGGAGCGTTCGTTCGCCATCTCGAATGAATTGTGACGGGAACCGGTTGGTGGTGTTGACTGTTGGAGATGGGGCGGCGTTTGGTCGTCGATGGCCGGTTTGTCGTTCGAGAGACGGAAGAATTCGTTGTGCACAAACAGGACTTGTCTGACTAATTGGCTGGCTTTTGCGGGTTGGTGTGGGCGCAACCAAATTAGGGCTTAGGGCTTAGGGCTGCGAGCTTCGAATTGCTCGAAAAAAGTCAAAAGCTGCAAAAAAGGTTTCATTTTTCGCCCCAACGATCATACAGGTAAGCAGTGAATCGGCGAGATATCCTATGGAGTACGCAGTACAGGCCTTCGATTGGCTTGGTTCTAAGTTTAAAAAGTAGATGAAGTTCATCGAGATCTCTTTCGCCGTCATGAAGTTGAGTACGGTATGTTACTACTTGGCTAGGCTTGTTCTCTAAAGGCTAGAGTTTATAGATCGACCTCATGTATACTCTGTAGCAGAAAACGTCTTTAAAGGAACGGTAGTTGATTGTAGGAGGGAAAAAAAAAAGAAAAGAAAAGAGGTAAGGTACTCAGCCGAAATATGTAATTCTTCATTGATTATTGTCGGGGAATATCATACCTCATCAATTAATTAAAAAGGCTTGAATAGGACGAAAAGGCAAAAAGCCAATGCAAACAAAGAGGGGATATCATTTATGATGTTGCAGAGGACCTCACAAAAGGTGCTCTGTACATAGCGGAACCGATTCAGATACTAGTAACAGAAAGAGGGAGGGAAGTTATATGGGGAAAAAAAGGAAGGATAGTAAGCAAAAATCCGTGATCCAAAATGTAGTCTTTTTCTTTTATCGCTCCCTCGAAGAACAGAACTCTTCAATCAGCCTTTCTAAATCTCTCAGTTTGTATGGTTTCGTCATATATCCCGCCATCCCAACGCGAGTTGCCCGGTCCAGCGCTTCGTCTGTCACATCTGCGCTGACTGCAAACACCGTTGGGGGTCCAAGCGATACCGGCTGTGACGTTTGGCCATGGCCATCTGCATTGAGATCAATATTCGCAAGACGCTCGCGGTACTCCTCTACCAACGCAAAGATCTTCTCCGTTGCTTCGTATCCATCCATGTCAGGCATCCAAAGGTCCATCAGAACAAGGTCAATGGCTTTGTAATCCTTGGTGGAAGGAAGAGTCTTGTCAGCTTCCTGGTCAGAGTCCGGCGGTGATTGAGTTTGAGTTGGATTTGCGGGGTCCATGGCCAAGGTATTGTGGTTGCTGGGGGGCTGGTTTACAGGCGTATTGGGTAAGGTGATATCGGAATTGCTTCGCGAACGGGTCGAAATAGGCGCGCTTGGTGTTGACGGAGGAGGCGACGAGGCTTGGCTTGATAGGATTTCGCTCACGATCCGTACTGCCTCTTTTCCGTCAAATGCCTCGTAGACATCGCTATAACCAAGTTTTGCCAACATATTAACCAGTATTCGGCGGTTGATCTTGTTATCTTCCGCAACAAGGAATGTCAAGGGATGTCTTTTGGCCAACGTCTTGTCGCATGTATGCCTCATAAGCGGTATCGGTTTAGAGTTTCCAGACAAGCGGCGTATCATTTGACTCTGATGAACGCCGTTCTGCTGACCGGGATCCTTCGTGTCAGGCAGCGTCGGCGAGGCCAGAGGCGAAGAAACTTCTCCATTTATTTTTGGCTTGGGCTGATCGGTAGGGGGGCTGTGTGCACCATCAGTCCCCACGGACGGTGCAGTAGATCTAGGTGTTGAGCTGTTCGTGTAAGGGGTGGGTGGACGGCTGACGCTATCGCTAGGGAACAAGGGAAGCCGAATTTGGAACTCTGAGCCACGATTCGGCTCCGTCGTCGATGAGCGAACGCATACTAGATCTCCGCCGAGCTTTCGAGACAGCCCCTTAGCGACCATCAAACCCAACCCGAGTCCTTCTTTGCTTCGTGTAGTCGAGCCATCTTCACGGGCCCAGGGTTTGAACAGCTTTGGCAGAAAGGCTTCCGGTATACCCGTTCCGGTATCCTTGACGTTGATCAAGACACAAGGCGGTTTGCCGCCGACTGTGACGGCGACGGTAATTTCTCCAACTTCGGTGAACTTGAGGGCATTCAGGAACACGCAAGAGACAAGCTTCGTGAGGTCCTTTTCATCGACACATAGGCTCTCTGGGACCGATGGATCCACCCACCAGTCGATGTATTTTGTGGAGGCTTGACCGTTGCAACCCAGCGTCTGTACTTCAATTCTTTCACCACAATCTGTGGACTCGACTCTGGCTGAATCCGGGCGGCCACCCACTTGAAGCGACTCGTTGATGACCAGGCGAAGCAAGTCTCGGACTTTTGTGTAGTGCAAGACCATGGGCGGAAAGACAGCGCGTAAGGGACGCGACGACTGGGATTCACGAGTTGTCGACGGGCGTCGAGCGACAGCATCCAACAAAGCGTCGTCCATCGCATCTTGAGGCGTAGAGTGTACGATCTTGTCACTCTCTTCGATCGCACTTCTTAACTCTGCAGTGCGAGGAGAGACTCCACGGCGGGACGAAGGGGTGCATCGATGTTTCGGCGACGATGAGGACTGCCAGTCCATTGGAGTGCTTCGCCTGCGTTTGTAGGGATTGACCATGATATTGCTGCCTTCGATAAATATGTTTGGGCGATTTTCATGTGAGTCGCCGCTTGATCGAAACGAGCCGTTTTGCATCTCTTCGTCCGCAGGGTTCTGGGGGGTATCAGGGACCTGCATGTTCAAGTTGTACGCATGGACGATATTATCGGCCGCTTCAATGGCCCGTCTGGCGCTATCTGTAGAAACACGTCAACGATCAACTGGCCATTCAATGTTAAAAGCGTGGGCGAAAGGGGGTTGGGGGTTTCGGTTTCCCTGCTGACCTTGAACCGCTTCGATGTTTTCGCGAAATTCAGTAAACATTGGGACCAAGCTGGGATCCAGCTTATTCTCAAGCTTCTCCTGAACGGTAGCATGCATGATATCTAACATACCGACCACACCCTGCATTGGGGTTCGAAGCTCATGTGATAAGCTCCTTGCATACGGTTTAAAAGCTGGAGCAGCCATGGGATTGCTCTGGTTTACAACCGTTTTTGTGGGCTTGCCCTGCAACAACCTCCTATCGAGCTCCTCCCACCTTTGAAGGTGTGGAGGTTTCCTGTGGCCTTCATCGACGGCTATATGCTGAAGTATCAAGTCTTCCAGGGAATGGAGAATCATTTCAAGATACGGCCACGAGACGTCCCGAGAGAGCAAGCCCTCTGCTGTCCACAGGATGCCTACATGAGCGAAACACCTCCCCGCAGAGAAGAGAGGAACAGCAAGATAGGCTTCGACGGGGAAAGGCAATCGATCCGCATCTTTCCCGATAACAGCAGGCAAGCTCTCCGGCACCAGACAGACCTTGTCGTGATTCATTGAAGTACAGGGGATATCCCAGGACAGATATCTGTAATCTCTATGCATCGCTTGAAACCCCTTGCCGTCGTTGTAGTAGACAGCCACACCTAGCAGAGAAGAACTACGTTCGTCCAAAGACAGCATCTCAACGTCGGTGTCTTCTTCATCATCATCATCATCATCATCATCATCCTTCTTGTGGCTTTCCTTGGCGACGAACGCACACTGAGCATGACAGATCGTGGTCAATCCTTCCATGAGCCGGGTCCAAAACGATTCGGTGTCGGCATCCCGCAGCTCATCCTTGAGTGCGACGAGCTGCTCGATGGCGTTGCTCTGACCCGCCTCGAAGAAACGGGAGACATAGTCAATGGGCTTGATGGGGGCCTTGGGGACGACTGCTTCGGGTGGTGAGCTGGAGATAAGGGCAGGATCGGGGTTTGATTCGGCGGGGTCGTTTGACGCAGCAGCGTCGGACTCATCCATCGTTGTCCGCCAACTATGGAGGTAGTAGTGCTGAGGGTCCAGGGCGGGAGACGATGTGTGAACCGGGGGGGGGAAGAGGGGGGGAGGCAAAAGACGTGGAGAAGAGAAATCGTTATTGACAACGAAGAGCTACGGTCGAAAGGTGTTCCCGAATCACGGGGCGGGATTTGAAAGATGCTAGTAACGGTGCGGAGCGATGGGTCAGCGGAAGAAGCAAAACATTGGATGGGCGTGCAGAATAGAACGGGTGAGTGACGGTGGACGTGGGGATCCCTCCCGAAGGGGGCGAAAGATGGCCAGCTGAAGTATTGACGTACAGGTCTTGACGATCATCCGGATGGCCAATGTTTTAATAAGAGGTGCATGAAGCTTGGAGGGAGAGCGGGCGTTGTGAGTGGACATGCAGGACGGCGGGAAGATGCAGAGCCACCGCGACCACCACCACGACAGACAAAGGGAGACGCTAGCTCATGGATTCCGTACAGCTGGGCGGGGCGTGAGAGGGAGCGAGGATGCGAGAGCACAGCAGGAGAGGAGACGATGACTGGAGAAAGTGAGTTGAGAGTGTAAGAGTGTGAGAGTTGAGAGAGAGAGAGAGTGAGAGAGTGAGAGTTGAGAGTTGAGAAGAACTGGGGATTTGGCTGTTGAGGGGGACGGAAAAGGGCTCGAGAAGGGGCAGCCTGCTTAGTTAACGAGTCCTGGCTTCGTCTGGAATCCCGGCCGGTCAAGGACTAGACCAGCCCATATCCGCCGAAAAAATAAAAAAAAATAAGAAATAAAAAAGGAAAAAAGGAAAAAAGAAAAGAGACAAGTATCGAAAGATGCTATGTAATATCTCGAAAAGTAAAAAAACTCTCTGGGATCGTCCCGGCTACGGAGTACGGACGATATCCTCCATCTGCAGTGCACACCTTCACACAGGCGGGCGGCTACAAGATGCATTGCGTCCTCGAGTCGGACTGACCACCAATCCTTTTCCTCCCAACCCACCTGGAAACACAAAAACCACCCCCCCAGCCCAGGCTGTGCCCTGACGCTCGTACTCCGTACAGAGGAAAAACGAGTTGGATGAATTTACAGAGGAAAACGAGTTGGATGAATTACCCTCTTCAGATGATCCGCAAGTGCGTCCAGGCAAAGCCGCGGCGCCATGGCCGGAGATACGAGAGATCTCGCGATAATTCTGCTACGGGCAGCCGAAAACCCCCCATCACGGTCACACACACATACCTAAACATGACTTCCCTCGATCTGGGTTCCTCCACTTGAGTTTGGGACCCTCTGAAGAGTGGGATTGTGTTGTGGAGCACGGCGACTTGGAGCTTTGAAATCCGGACCACGTTCCGCGTCTCCTTTTGCTTCAAATTGTTTTTGTTTTATTTTACTCCGTACAGAGTACGGAGTACTTATTCATTCTATCTCTATTCATTTTTACTTATTTATTCATTCTATCTTTATTTATCTTTACTTGTTTATTTTTTATTTAGGAAAACGAAGCAGCAGAAGTGCGAGCGAAGAAGCGTGCCGAAAGGCCCGTCACCATAAATCGCCTCCACCCGGGGCGAAGCGCAGACCACCACCCTCCAAGGGCTGCCAAAAAGGATAAATGAACTTATTAAATAAAAGGCTGAGAAGCGCGGGAAGTCAAACAAAAAAAAAAAAAAAAAAGAAAGGAAAGAAAAAAAAACCACAGGAAAACCGACCAGAATCTAGACCATTCGAGGAAGAGACGGCAAATCCGTTTTCTCAGCCACCGTCGTCATGCCAGCCAATCGCCCGCCTGCCCCGGCTCGTTGCTTTGGACAGAAGAGTCCCCTGCACGGCCGCCCGGAAGCTCTGTGTGTCGCTCGACCGCCAGCCAGGGCGACGCCGTCCGAACCGTCCAGGGCATGGATGGGGGATCCCAGCTGTCCCCATGTCCCAGATCAACGGCCCTCCGCCGCTCCCCGGCTTTGCCGAACCTTCTTCAGAAAGATGAATAAAAAAAAAAAAAAAAAGTAAAAAAGAAAAAAATTGGGAAAAAAATTGGGAAAATTGGGCAAATTGGAGATAGGGCAAAATGACAAATAGGACAAATGGAGAAATTACTCAATAGAAAAGAATTTTAAAAAAAAAAAAAGAAAGAAAAAAAAAAGAAAAAAAAAAAAGAAAGAGGTAAAAGAAGAAAGTAACAAAATCTATTTCAAAATTCAAGCACCGAAGCTAACCCTAGCAAGTCTATCCAACTGTTCGGAAACGTAGTCTTTGTATTTTTATTAGGTGGTGGCTTTTTTTTTTTTTAAAAAAAAAAAAAAAAAAAAAGGTATCATGGAGAGCGAAATCAATCAATGATCTTGCCCATTGAGCAGAACAAGATGCCTCACAACCTCGACGACCTCATCCTCGCTTATATCCAGGTCAAGGTTGTCCAGCCTCCTTGCAAGCGCCTTATCAAGTAGCATCCTCAGCCGCGAGACGAGCACCCCGATTCTAGCCCAGCCTCGGAGTGACAGCCATCCATCGACCACAAGACCGCGGCCATGTGTGTCCAGAGTAATTGGCCCGCCAAAAAGAAGCAGCGAGTAAGCATTGAAAGCTGTGGAAGGATCATCAGCATTGGTGGCGACACAAAAAAAAAAAAAAAAAAAAAAAAGAAGGGGATACGGAGTACGGAGTAGTTATTTCACTTAACGGGGAGACCCAAAAAAACAAACATCAGAACTTACGGGTTAAGTCGCGGACAAACACCTTACTCGTCGCCATCTTCGAAAAATAACTCACGTATGCCGCCGCTCCCGAGAAGCTCTGCGCGTCGAACAGCGCTGAGCTGGGATGCACAAACACGCGCCCGTTCTCCTCGTTGAAGTACTTGATCGTGCGCGCTTCGGGATCGACTTCGATCGTCCCCGTCATCGACGCGGCGAACCTCTTTTCTGGGAACGATATTGAGGCTACCTGAGGATTGAATGCTCCAGCGATCAAAGCGCGGAGCAACTGCCAGTTTGTGTTATGCCGGTTCCACCGGCGTTCGGACAGTTCCCCATCGCCCCGGTAGCCAACCGGCAGTATGCCAACCTCCTTTAGCGAAGTCAATAGCTGGGCCCGATTAGAAGTGATGTCACGAAGAGTCTGGGGGACCAGAAAATTGTCGTTACACCAAGCCAGTGTCCTCCGATAGCCCTGTAACTTGACTCGCTCTGACCACTGTTGATACGCCACCATGTCAATCAGGAGGTCCCCGTCTCCGGTTGAAAAACTGGCCCTTGCGGCCTTTGCTTCGTCTCGTTGGTCCTTCGGCGATGCGAACGGGCTCTTAGCGGTCAGGATGGCAGCTATGCTCACGCAAGCCTCTAAACATCCAAATATAACACCAAACACCATCAGCTTGGCACAGCGCAGGTCGGCTGGGATTATGGACAGGTATCGGCCGAGGACGGTTAGCTGATCGTTGTCCAGTGCGCCTATGCGATGAAGCGTGCCTATAGCGCCTTTCACAGCAGCTGTGTCCGGCGGGGTGAGGGTCTTTGCGAGGAAACCGGCTACATCTTCGATACCCTTCATTGCTTTGACAGAGAGACAAAGCTGTTCCAGCGGAACCCGCTGTATTTCCGGAGCGGGCCTGGAGGCCATATTATTCTCCGCGTTTCGAGTGTATAACTTATAACAGGTGCCGTTTCTGACTCGCCCGGCTCGACCTCGGCGCTGCTCGCAGGCAGCCTGGGATGCCCAAGTCTCCTCGAGCCGGACAATGTTATCCGCCGGGCTGTAACGCGTTTCCTTGACTCGACCGGTGTCGATGACCGCGACAACGTCTTCAATTGTAATGGACGTTTCAGCAACATTAGTTGCGGCAATAACTTTACGCTTCCCTTTCGGTGCGGCTGAAAACACCCTTTTTTGCTCGTTCGGCGTAAGTGACGCATGCAACGGTAGCAGATGAGCGAACGAGAAATCCCGCATGGTTGCTAAACACCGATCTATTTCCATCGTTCCCGGCAAGAAAATCAAGATGCCCCCGGGTTGATCCTGAAGCTCGGCGTCGATATGGCGTACGGTAGCCGCGATCAAATCATAGCTAATTCCTTTCCCGAGTCTCTGCAGAGCCTTGCCCACGGACAACTCTTCCCGTTCATCGAGGGTCCCTGGAGATTCATCCCAATTCGACACAACACTCGCTTGGTTCAAATCCGTCAATTGGACAACCTGATCAATGTAGATATCTTCAACGGGGAAAGTTCTCCCTGCGATATTAACTCGGCCAACCTGATTCTCACCGCCAAAATACCGTACGAAGAGGTCCGAGTCCAGCGTCGCACTCATCAGAATGAGCTTCAGGTCACGTCGGGCCTTCAGTGCTTCTTTCAGGATCGCTAGAAGGATGTCTGTATCCAAGCTTCGTTCGTGTACCTCGTCAACCACGACGTGAGTGATGTCGGCGAGAGATTCCGCAAGACTGTTGCCACCGACTTGCAGACGACGTAGAAGCACACCAGTTGTCATAAAAGTAATCTTCGTAGCCCCAGACTTGAATTTGCTATCTCCTCGAATGATATATCCAACCTCGTCCCCGACGGCCGAGCAGCGTTCAGCGCTGACCCGATCAGCAAGGCCCAGCGCGGATATACGTCTTGGCTGTGTGCAGACAATATTCGCTGTTGAACCGAGGTCGCGTTGAATCATATCATCAAGCAGAAACTGAACGGACTGGGTACTTTTACCACTCCCAGTCTCTCCGGAAATAATTGTCACTTGGTATGTGTTCACGGCTTGCACAATTGCATCCTGCATGGCCCAAGCCGGAAGACACTTTCTGGCGGTGATCATCTTCAGCTGCTCGGGGCTCCTATGCCCGGATTCCCGCGCTTCACGAATGCCCGCATTCTGCTGGGCTCCTCCTTGCACCTTGGTCCGATGCGGAAGTGTTCGGGAACCTTTTAGGCTGGCTGGTCTGGCGTGTTCATTAACGACCCTCGACGGGGTATCGATAGATATATTCCGTAACTTCCCAGGATTTTCGAGAATACGAGGTATGTTTTCCTCTAGCCAGTCTACCAGGTTAAAGACCATCGGCCCCCCAAGCAAGTTCTCATGGGCATATTGGATAGCCTCTCTGATTGCGCTGAGGCGTATATAAGCTGGTATTTTTTTGGATGATATGGTGAGAACCAGGGGGCAGGTAGGGTATGAAGCGATAGCTGGCTTCTGGAACTGATAGGCTACAGCATACTGCGAATGCAACTGGTCTGATATGATTTCGCACTTATTGCTCGACAGCTTTTTGTATTTTTCACCATATATTGCCTCCAGGGTCTGGTTTTCCTCTTCCCATGCGTCACATTCGCTTTCGGGCAATTCGCCACTTGGGAAAAAATCCCCACTGTCGACAAGCAGGCTTTGAAGACATTCTGCTGCTTTGAGCTCATCATCATTGTTATCCTCAAGTGCTTTTGCGCATAGATCAGTGGAGTAGCCGGCCAAGGCCAGCCGTTTTATTTTAGATTCCCGAGCCAGGTCACCACTGGCAAGGGTTACGCCGGCCGAATAACCCTCCGGAAGACTCCATTTCGGGAGATCGTCCTCCGGAACGTGTATCAATAACCACTCTAACGCTTCTTCCCTATCCTTACATTCCGCCACAGCTTCTTCAACATGGCTCTTGCGGAATCCTAGGTTGCTGAAGTCGTCCACGATTCTTTTCTTTTCAGAATCATGTATCTTAACATCATAGGGGTTCCAAAGAGCGCTTTGCCTGACCAAATCTTCGATCTTTCTGCGTGTCTTCTCGCCCATTTCAATCTTGGGCGCCTTTTGCCAACGAATACCAGGGGGAGGCCTGTTGTCACCACCGGCGGAGCCCAATTGCACAAGTGGTTCCTTTTGCTTCAACTTACCCTTGCTATCTTGCTCAGCCTTGCGCTTCGTGGAGTCGGCGACAGCATTTTGGTGCTCTTGCTGCGCAGTAAAGGGATCGGATTCATACATCCAAGCCTTACCCGCTTTTACGTCGTCCACCTTGAGTTGGGCAAATTCCTTTTTCCAAAGATCACGATAGGTAGGAGGCATCATCATATGTAGATTCTGCATGCTACACACGCGAAATAAGGCATAAGATGCCGCAAAATGACGTGCTTCCAGTGCAGTGGGCTGAGCGGCTAGTTTGCTGTGCGCTTGAGGAAATCGCATTGGGGGAAGCGTCACCGTCTCCTTAGTCTTGGGGTTTGTCTTCTTTAAGATAACGCTGGATATAAAGCCGTCCGGACTTTTGAACTATAGCCAGTGGGCTTCTGTAAATACCAAAAACGTTTAAGGCGATCCAATCTCGAGTCTGCAAGGACTTACCATCGTGTACTCCGGCTTTTCCCATTTCTGTCTCTGACAGTGCTCTGAAAGCATGTTCACGGGCAGTTTCCCCGTCCATGATGCGCCGCCTATAATCGATCTGACGGTTGGTTTCTTAGGTTGTTCCGTTTCACCACCGGCAGACGATTCACCGCCAGCCTTCTGGCCTTTGGATTTGCCTTTCGCATTCTTGGAGTCTCCCCCCGCTACAAAATCATCGATGGATATTTCTTTCGGCTGTTGCTTTGGTGGATTATTCGATTTTCCTCGACTGGCACCGCCCCTTTTCGGGGCCATCGTAAAACCGGATAAAAGGTGTCCCACCCCGGAGCCGTTGCGACCTGATACCTTGTGCTGTTTGATCTCGATGGCTTCGGCAAGACGACTTTTTGATATTCACGGAATCGGATTAGTCAGCATCATCTTGGGATAACTTAGTCCGACTCCAGCCCTCGACAGCCTTCGAAGACGGACAAGCATTGTTGAATCTTTTAGGAACGAGACACGGAGGATTTGTGACATCACCAGTAGCTTTCAAATAATGCCTGCGACACCGCAAACGAGTGAGAAGGACGCGGAGAGAGCCGCAAGTCCTGAGATGGCTGGAAAGACGACCAATGCCTGTATTTCTCCATAGCAGATGGCCCACAGGATACAGCCGGCAATTTCTGACCTGACTCTTCTGTAGTCACGGTTCTAATGTCTAAAAAGCCAAAAGATTCTACCAATACCCCAGAGCTATCGCGAGACAGAACAAAGTTCCCCCGAGCCTTCCACAGTCGAGATGCACTGGGCGCCTATATCGAGAGACCAGAATCTTCGCCGGGGATCGTGTATCATACTGATGACTTCGTCGCGATAAGTGATCTCTACCCGAAAGCTAGCATTCATCTTCTTCTCTTGCCGAGAGATCCATCGAAATATCGCCTCCACCCGTTCGATGCATTTGAAGACCATGAATTTTTGACAAAAGTCCAGGCAGAAGCCCAAAAGCTTCGGAAGACAGCAGCATCAGAATTGCGGCGTCGTTATGGCAAATATTCTGTGTCGGAAAAGGCTCGCTCGGAAGCCATGGATGCCGATCCCGCTCCCGACGAGCTACCCCCGGGGCGGGACTGGGAGAAAGAGATAATGTGCGGCGTGCATGCTCACCCATCGATGAATCACTTGCACGTCCACATCATCTCCAAGGATAGATGTAGCCCGTGCCTGAAGCACAGAAAGCACTACAACAGTTTCTCCACACCTTTTTTCGTTCCCATAGATGATCTGCCACTCGACCACCACGACGCCAGGAGACACCCCGGAAGAGAAGGCTATCTCCAGCAAGACTTAAAATGTTGGAGATGTGGATCCAACTTCGGAAACAAATTTACGTTACTTAAGGATCACCTCAATCAAGAATTCGAAACATGGAAGTGCTATTAGTGCCGACCCTCCAATTTTGCATTTTCTATTCTACGGGAACTAAGTACAGACCAACCCGCCATGTTTACTCTTGGTGGAGCTCATGTTTAAGTCTGGAGAACTGGGGTCTCGAGATGATTGCATCTATTCCCAGGACTTTGCTCTTCCAGCGAAAGGTCTTTCGCGCTAGTTTTAAGTATTCAATCTCCTTCTTGAGCTGCTGCCACTTACGTAGCACGAGAATGTCTTCTCCAGCAATATCTTGAAGGACGTCCGGGGACAGTTGCTGGTAGAAGTTGCCGACAATAAACTTGAACGGCGTTGTGGGACCTGTCAAGAGATGGTTGTGTATCCCTTGCATGGTTACGGTATCGATGAGCCGCTTATGAGTAGTATCATAGGATGACTCCAAAATATCGTGGATGTCTTAGGCCGCGTTATCCGCGTTACGCAACGGATGAGTGTCTCAGATCCTTTTTCTTGATAGCCTAAAGTACCCTGTCGCCTTTCTCAATGCAGGAAACCTCAACCTTGTCGAAATGCTCTTGGCTTTGCATGTTCTGACTGTGAGTCAAGATTGGCCATGTATTCATTCTTATTATACAAGTCTGATCAGATTATACTCACAAATTTTCTAGTTTGTTAACAAATAAGTAGTCCTCTTTATTTTACTCTGCCAGCTAGTTGCACTGTCAATACACACTGGACCCGTTGAAGAGTTTTTTTTATATCTCCGTTAATTCATCCATTAAATAGGCCAATAAGCTAAGGTGCACACGCTCTTCGACGTAAAAGGACCTGAACTCTGTCGAGATGAATTGATGAATCACGATGATGGTGTCGCTAACATATGCGACAGAGATGACTCCCCGCTTGGTCGACTGACTTTTCATGAGAGTCGATAACAAAGACAGATTGAATGGTCCTATTTCGAAGCCCTTTGAGCCATTATATACACTCTCGATCAATTCTAGAATTGACCTACAAACTTGTACTGCCTGAGATTGCGAACTACATTCCAGCCCAGCTTGATGCCAGATTTCCTTTCAACATGTTAAGACAGCTTTTTCTCCCCCCTTATTTACAAGACCTGGTATGGTAAAGACTCCCAAGGTGCTGTTACCCTCGGATCGAGGTCCTTGCAACGTTGAAGAATATTCTGAATCGCTATTTTGGCTGCCAGCATAGTCGAACGCGGTTTCATATATCTGAGGATCATCCCCTGAACGACCCGAATATCTTCCTTGAATGTGACACCTTCAACCGTATTGGTGAAAGGTCCGGGGAAGTCAATTACACTCAAATAATCTAGCCCCTAGGTCTGAACAAGAACGTCTTTGGAGAAGATGGACAGGCTCGGACTACCCTTGGTTTCTTTGGGGCGACAGGTTCACCGCTCTGTGGGCCTTAAAACAGTTAGAAAAGCAAACCCGCAACTTGTGAAAGCATTCCGCATATCTCTATCAAAATCTCTGTAAACGATATCGCGGCTAGTTTGCCAACTTCTATGTTTCAACCTTTTCCATTCTTCACATGCTCCGGGCTTGAGTTTAGTCCAGGAATGACGGACATCTTGATGCTTTCCACTATCGCATCTTCTCTTACGCCAAATCTAAAAGCTTTTGGGGAGTGATGTGAAATGTGAAAGATAGAGGGGAAAAAACAAAGTGATGTAACAGCTCGAACCTGGTCTACGCAAAGGTATGGCAATCGCCTGTTTCGACCGGAAACTTCGGCAAAGCTCCCTTTCTCACCCTCTATGGCGATGAATCAGCCCTATCAATCACTATTGTTGTGTTTGCATCAGTTGCCGGTCAAGGACCTGATTTCCCTATACCCAACACTTTTGCTCGTGCTTGCGCTCCAATAATTATTGATCCCTTCATCATTATCATGAGCAATGCAGCGTATTCATATACTCCTAAAAGATCCATTTATTCCTGATTTATTCCTGCCAACCCTTCTAGTGTAGTCCTAACTTAACCAAGTCAACATTTCCACAATATATACACATCCTTCAAATCCTATTCTCTCTGTGTTGTCGTGTTTGTCGAGATTTGCTGATCAAACAGAGCCGGATCGCGGGACAAACATATGTGCTTAACTTCACCCTACATACTAGATAGGTAGACCCTCATTCTTCTCTGCGACTCTTTTTCAAATTGTCTCTAAGATGCATGCAAGATATAACCTCTCAACTTAGAAGAAACAATCAAACAAAAAGAACTTTCATCCTGTGCAACCTCACGAACGAGCTTAAATAAGCTTAAAATGCTCCTAAGCTTGGCATCACTCTTTCCCCCTTCTGCCACTAGAGAGGACTCCGTATTAGATGAGAAGGCTTCAGCAGCTACTCACCAACTCCTATTGACGTGAGCATCGAAAGGAAACATAAGCTCGCAGAGACTCATACAATTCAATTAACCATAAGGAAAAACTAAGGTTCTAAATAAAAGCAAAAAGAGAATACCTCACAAAGACCAATCTGATAACCCATATTAGAAACTGAATTCAGTCTCCCAACCCCAACCCATGCCCAGAGAAGACTCCCATTTTCCCACCCTACCTTGAATTCTTTGCTCTCACCGAATACGCCACATAATATGAACTCCATCGCCAATCCGATGGAACATATGAGATCCAATTGCACCGCAAAAATAGACATAGGAAATCCACACTAGGGGAGTCCAGAAAAAAAAAAAAAAAATAATCGAGCCACGACTCTAATCCGTGTTGTGTCCACAGTACCATGTCGAATCGTAACTTGAGTCGAGTCAAAAGTTGAAAAATTGATTGTTTCAGGAGTCAGTTAGGAAGGGAAAGCCGAAAGAAAAGAGAGGATTCGACGGACGGCCATGTTGTTTGAAGGCGCCTTTCACTGGTTTATGCACCTCAACTAGCAAAGATAACCCTGTGTTCTGGCCGGTCGCTAGTAGAACATCGGATTCATACGAACAAGGCCAGAGTTATAAGATATCGTGCAAAGGCACCTTAATGAAGAAAGATCCAGTACAATAGGAGATGTGAATGAATGTGGAATGGGTGGGAGCGAAAGTCCAGTCGCCGCAGCCAGGTCGGAGGTTGAATATCATGGCTCGTCAACTTCATCGTCTCATAATAGAATGGCATGGTTTTAAAACGTCCAAAACATAAGAAAAGTTGTCGCGAGAGAAATCACCATAGTTCATAATAACCTCACGGTTTTATTGCATTCATTCCATGTGAGGTGTGGTGAAATAAGGAGAAGATAGCAGGTAAGACCTAGAAGCGCCGAGGTGCTTGGACGTGATTATGCACGGAAACGAGGCGGTTTGAAGGAAACTGAGGGGGCTGAGGGACTTGGAAGCCGCTCAAAGACTCATGTTCAGCAAAAGAGGCTGCTCGTTTAAACCGGCGATCAGAATATTTTTCGTAGATGGCAGGGTGGTGTCTCTGTGGCGCGTCACAGCACTCAAACATCAATTTCATGACAGGATACAGCTGGGAATACGTGTATTTCGAGTAGTGAACATGGGCCGCACCCTAGAAGATGACTCGGTTAGACAAGTACATCAAAGCGCAATCAGCATGAAAGTGAGAGCATACCCAATCCCCTTTTCTCAGCATCATTCGTGCAAGGCAGTGTGCAGCTGCCGCAACAAAACTCGGAGGACTGCCAACAAATCTTTCATCCATGATGGTGATTTCGAGGAAGTACTTGGCCAAGGTTCGGGTTTCGAGGTCGTAATCATCGGCTTTGCTAATTCGACGTAGAAAGTTCATTGGGCCTGGCCATCCAAGCTCAAACTGAAGCAAGCTAAGCATGAATCGTTCCGCCTTTAAGATTTCTTCGGCGGTGTAACCATTATCAACCATGTAAACGATCTCTTGAACGGATGGGCAATTAATCTCTTCGTATTTTGCTGCGATGAAAATCGCAGTTGCACCGACAAGCTGAAGCTTGCCTAGCGAGACAATTTTGCAAGAAAGAAACCGATCAATGTAATTGACACAAAGAAAAAGAGTTTCGGGAAGCAGGTTAAAACGAAGGTGGACTTGTACAATCCAATCCATGAGAACTGAGCGCATAGACCACTGAATTTCAGCTTGAGTGTCCATATAATGGGGATTGGGCATCAGTTTAATCTATTATATCAATAGTCAGTGTTAGCTTTTAACCGGGATGGCGTAGAATCGGTACCTCGAGCTTCCTCATGTAATCAAAAATCTCATCCCCGTATTCGGCAACCATGGTGGGATCGGAGCATTCTTCTTCATAATCCTGGACGTCTCGGGTAGATTCGACTACCTGTTTAGCAAGTGCCAGCTCTTGCTTAATATTCACACTAATTTCGGGAAATAGGACTGTGGTGGCGTTAACAGTGGTGTTATCAGTACTATAAAGCTGCGAGCGAGCAGTCACACATCCATCGTCCACATAGGTCCCATTATCCTCATCCCATGTTTCTTCTGGATCAAATTCTGTGGAATGATGAGCATAAGGCACCATTGCTTCCTCTTCTGAAATTTTTGCAACAAGGCCAGCGATGGGCCTTTCCTGGCTTGTTTGAATGTCCGGCGCAGGACCTGGGCCTGACTTCACTTCAGTTGACAACCCAGAGATCCGAATCGCAGGATTGTGTGGCTTGTAAACCTTGATCTCTCCATTGTCTTCGATGTAAATTCCTCCAAGCTTTTGAAGACCGTCAGTCCCATTGAGCACAGAAGAGTTCTCCTTAGGCTCCTTAGCGTGAATGCTAGAGGCGTCATTGTAATCATGTGAGGTGCAGTGTGCATTGGAGCTTAGGGCTTCTTCAGAAGTGGTATGCTTGGCTTGTGTTGAAGAGGGAGCTGGCTCGAGCAAAGCGGGCAGAACAGATTCCTGAACAACGGTATTGCGTCTTGCAGGCGGCTTCCGGGCGTTTACCGGCAATTTATCCAGAGCAGTAGTCTTTATAGTCGCGGTTCCTGCATCGGCAGTAGTGCTTTTGTTCAATATTTTTGTCGTGGAGGCTTGAGAGGCGCGTTGGTTGGGTCGGGCGATGGAAGCAAGCTTCTCCGTTGGTCTCAGCTTTTCCTTCGCGCTGGCAGTGAAGCTATCGTCTTTCGCCAACCGTAGAATATTCGCGGTATTGCTAACGTTGCCCAATGCAGCTCGCTTCAGGGGTTCCTTGGCTCCATCAGCCCCGGCAAGTGTCGACAATGCCGGGGTGGACTTGTTGCGTTGGTGAAGAGTTTTGCCGTTGAGGTTGGCGATCGGCGCATTCTCGTCGCCCCGAACGCGCAAGGCCTTCGGACGCTGTGGCTATATACAAAGAAACATTAGCGATGCTCCGAGTCTGCATCAAAGGGGGTTTAAAAATGAACCCCAGTGACATGTGCATGTGGCCCACGGGCACATCAGATATCATTGGGACTATCATACCTTAGCATCCATTATTCAATACGATAGAGATCGCAGATTCAATCCTCGAATCGAGATATAGTGTAAGGTTGAGTCCCGTTAAAAAAGAACCCTCATTCACTGCTGGATTTCGTCTTTGCAGTATTCCGTAGAAAGCCTCGAAACTTTACTGCAATCTCATCAGGACCCCCAATTGCGCGGGCCCCCCCTTGAAATAGCAAGCTCAGCAGCCCTTTACCGGTCAGCGAAGACAAGCCAAAGGACGCGAGGAGAAGAGAGGTCCAGGTTGCGTGTGTGGACGTGCGAAAGGGCTTGTTGTTACTGCTGATTTCCTTGCTTGGAGCCGCTGAAGAGGCAGCCAGGAGCAGTAAACAAAGCTAGTCCCAAAGGGGGAAAGGGGCCGGTCGGTTTGGCCGAGCAACCATCAGCACGCCTTGATTACGTCACAAGCTTTTGCACCAGACACGTCCTCCCGCACACGGTGGAGAGAGCGCAGAAGCCCGCACTCCGCCCAACACAGCTGGGATTTGAGAGGCACAGACTGCTGCTGTATTCACACAGTCAATGCGACATATTTTGTGAATTTTTTAACTGAAATTGAGCGTGAAATTGGGTGGATATTCACATGTGGTTAGCTTCCAGCACTTCACGCGTGAAGAAACACGCTACAACACCAGTTCACGTGATGATGGAACACCCGCGGAATTTCCATCCATGACCAGCACATCAGACGAGAAGGAATGAGGGACAAAGCCACACAGAATGGCATCATAAAAGCAAAACTTGATCCAAATACGCGGATCTAAACATCTGCGGCCTGCACCGCTGAATTATCCCGTCCTCTCTGCAGGGTTGACCAGCGAGATTTGGCGGGTAAGCTAGCCGGGTTGATCCGACCAGCCAGCGCTTTCGGGGTCGTCCGAATCGAATAACGAACCTGACGGGCGTCTACCCTCATTATGGTCGCGGCGACGGACGCGCGATGGGGTGTCCTTCGGATCGGTGAGGAAGTCGAGACCTGCTTCGGCGGTCACAAGGTAGTTGTGAGAGTTAAGTTGTTCCGAGCCTGCCAAGACGTGCGCAAAAGTCTCAGCTTCGAATTCCTGCATAATCGCCGGTTCCAGTTTCAGGCTGTCCTGTCGCTTTGGCCTTTCGCCTGAGTTTCTTTGTTGGAAACAGCGTAAGTATGTATGCAGCATATGCACAGTAGACATGGCCGAGGCGAATTCTTTTGCATGATAACATCGGGACTGATGGACGGTGAGGGCTGCCGGGGACTGACGCCTACTGTTACGGCATGTAGTTTTAGAAAATGAATCTTTTTAACCTACGATGGACTCGAGCTCGGATTTTTTCCAATCATATAATATTCTCATTGCAACCTCGATGCCGTTCCATGGGACCGACGAGAGCATGGATTCTCATCGTCAATGATGAATCGCTCCTCCAGGTCAAGGCTGGAAATCCGACGCAAATTCTATCCTAACGCACCAATGAACATGGAAATTTCATTCTGATATAGGTACATACATGGTAGTTTGATGTTTGTTGCAGTCGAATAATTGCCAGGATTTTTGGCCAAAGTGGTATGTTATGGAACGGCTTGCATCTGTCCATCCTCCAAAGTGGAGATCGTCCTCCGAAAGATGGAACAGCACCACCACCCTATTAGCAGGGTGTATGGGCCCCAGTTTTTGTCAGCCTGTCGGGCATTCTGGTTTCTTTCTTTGCCAGAGACTGACAGGCCCTCTTTGAAGCTGTTTCCAGTAACTTTCTAGGGGAAAATTCTCGGTCGCACAAACAGCGTTCCCCAAACTCACTCCTGTTCAGTTGAAATTGACCCCTCAAAATTAGCTCGGGCCACAGGAATTGAAAGGGGGGCAGTGATTCACCAGGATTGACCCGGAAATAGTGATTAGGACGGGTCCAGCTGCCTTGACGTGGCCGCCGCAGAGGCTGTTCTCTCAGCCAACCAACGGCCGGCACTTGTATGTGGTGGCTATCTCGCCCGTCTTCGCTCTCCTCTTTGGCGAACGGGCACGATCGCACCTCGAGATTGGAGAACGAGGGAAATCCACAACCCGATCAGCAGCGGTAGTTAGAGAACCCGGCCCAGAAAGCTCGTCGCTTGGGGCGATTTCCCAAAAGATTCGCATTTTGGAAGCAATGCGACCGGATTCAAAAAAGAGCGCCATGCCCCAGCTTTCTACGCCTCCTAAACTGTCCACTCCTCAATCTTACGACCTTCTTCCAGGGTCAATTAAAAGCCTCTCGTAATCTGAAAGTATATTGTTTCTCTGTACGGAGTACCGCGCTCCAGGCCAAATGCGACATAACTCGCTGCCACATGTTTTTTGCGACAGTCCCCAGCGGAAACGAGTGCAAGGAGATGATAATGAACATAGTAAATAATGATATTTGCAGAGAAAATTTTCAGACAGGAGTTTCTGAAGAATAACCGTAGATAATTAATTATCGGATGAGAAGCGTTGAGAGTCGTGTCTGGTGGTCATGCTCCATCCACCGCATGTTCCTTCACCTATTTAGGTGTGAAACCTCCACTGTTCGCAACTTCGCTCTCCCAACATCTCCCTTATCCTCTTGCGCCTCTCGACAACGGCCATTTCAATCAACAACACTCTTGCTTGTTTTTATCTTTGGATCCAAGTACATAATAGTGGTTTATGTGAGCCTTTTGCCTTATATTGTCATTTGCTCTTTTCTGTCTGCTGTTGCTTGAGTTCTCCTCTCTGCTTCCAGGAGCCCACCGACTGGGTTCTGCACCAAAAACCCTCACCGTCCACATCGTCGTCAACGCTCATCGTCTGTACTTACGGCCGATGGCCGTCATCCCTGTATGATTGCGATTCAGCTTTGACTTCTTTGGAGAAGCCCAGGTAAGTTTTTCTGTCGATTCGGCCTCATCCGGGCTCTCCTCAAATTCGAGGGTCGGCCACAGCTGCACTCTTCCTGTCCTCTCGAGTTTGACTCAATCATCATCACCAAATGGCTGTATGCCTGCTATGGAGTCATCGCGATTTTCGAGTCGATGGTATTCCCCAACTTTTGTGACCAAATGCTGATAATGCCACCTTTGTCCTGTAGTGCATCGCCTTCCCGTCTTAGCCGCTACCCCGTCCTTGCGCGGACCTCGAAACCTACGGTTTCTTCGAACTATCCCCTTAACTATAGACCGATTTTGAATTCTCTACCCCTCAATAATTTCACTATTGGGACCGAAAACCGCTACGGCTGTTATGAGATAGATGGAGGTCACAAACCTCATTTCGAACCTGCCGCTGAAACCCGGTACCAAGTCAAAAGATGCTAGTCTACACGAAACTACAAAAGACCACATTTCTGATCACTTTTCACACGATAGCACTGCAATGATGGCTGTCTCCCCCAAAAATCATACAGTTCTTGAAAATGGGTATTCAACGCCACCTGACCCGTCCCCATCTCACGATGGAAGCACCGGGAACTTAGTAGCCCAACAAGCTTCATCCGTGAATCCACCCCCCAAACATGTCGCTTTTGAATTGTTGCTTGACGAAGAGTCGAAAATGAAAGCAAGAATACCAATGAGGGTACAGATCTTTCCCCATGATACTACGGACTCCATCGTCACGACCGTGAAAAATTTCTACGGTATCTATGATGGAACGGGTAGCGGTGTGAGTTTCGAAGACGAAAATGCGACGACCTTGATCGCACGCTACGAAAATCTGCGGAACAATATGACGGTATACGTCCGTGTGATCCCAAATCACGGTCACTCGGCTCGCCAGCCGTACTATGGAGGACCTCAAAATGAGGGTGCCGCCCGCCCTTGTCTTGGAGAGCCATTCCGACCGTCGTCAAATCATGGTCGGCCGCCTTCAAGGCCGACATCTAGGGTTTCACGGAAGCGTAGTGCCTCTCCGTCTGGACGTGGACGTCGAAGTGCATCTACTCAAAAGGCGCCACGATCGGGCAATAAAAGTCGCGGCTCCAGCACCCATGGTAGCTTCCTCGAAGATGCCCTAGTCCCCTATAGCGACAGTGATGGTGGTCACGCCTCCATCACTAGCTCAAAGAAAGGGAGAAATGATCATTTCGCCAGCTCCGACATCAGTATGGAAAACATCCTTCATGATGGTCGAAGGAAGAGACCAAAATTTGACAGTTCGGTATGAACCTCTACTCTACCCACGTGTTACATCCTTATTATGATCACCATCTGTGTATCCCAATTTATCTAACCTTCTTCTCTTCGTCTAGGAATTACCCTTGTTCGCTCCTCCCCAAGTCCCTAGAACCACATCTACCTCATCCATATCGCCCCAACGACGCACGACGATCCAGGACGGTGCTTCACCCTTCGCAAGGCCAGCACATCCTTTTGGAGCACAACACCCATTGCATTCTCCTCAGGGTCTTAGAAATCACGAGCAGTTATATTCTCTTCAAGGGAATTCTCCTTACGCCACACCTGGAGCCCCACACCACGGGCATCATCTGCGAGAACGTACTAATTCTCACTCTGTTGGATCGTACGGAAACCGAGTAAACAACTATGGTATTCTTCCGACCCCAGATCCCACAATCGCGAGTTGCATCTCAGACGAAGATGTGGCTATGCAGTTAATTCGGCTTGGTGATGCGTCGAATTTCTCCCACGGCCGCACCTCTCTGTCCACAGCGGACGATGCTTTTAGTGGCATTGTCGATGCTTCATCGACCGGGGCAACTTCGGACGGAGAGATGAGTGGAGATGAAGATATACTACCTCACAAAACAACACGAATGGATCATGACGGCTGCGACCCGAGCAGCGATGGCATTGATGGGGAGTATCAACCGGAGGGTCTCCCTGTCGCTCTAAAGAGCGAGTGTGAAGATGGTGATCATTATGACGCTCAAGCTGCGAGGGCCAAACGAGCCAAGCACAAGCCAAACGCAATGGCTAGTGCAAAAACAAAGCAGGGTACAATCTCCAAGTCAGCCAAGGTCACAAAGGCACGTTCCACTACGGCGACTCGAAAGACAAAATCGGCTATTGTCAGCGGCACCAACAAAATCGCACCCCCGCCACCTCCGATCATGAATGCGCAAGTGGCACGCAAAGCGTCTGGATCCGGATTGAATTTCCAGCACCAGCTCGCAGCCGACGAAGAGGACTTATCCACCAAACCACGGTGCCAGCGATGCCGCAAGAGCAAGAAAGGTTGCGATCGGCAACGACCTTGCCAGCGATGCAGGGATGCCGGTATTGGTATTGAAGGGTGCATCAGTGAGGATGAAGGCAACGGGCGCAAGGGTAGATATGGACGCCACATGGGCGTGCCTATCAAGAAGGTGATGAACCCAGTCCCTGCCGGTTCAGAGCCCCAGACCATGGGACTTTCATTTGCCTCAGCTTCTGCTGCTCAGGCTGCCAGTAAGAAAAGAAAGAGATAATTCCTCCGGGCTATCCAGTATCTATGCTATCGCAGTCCGGGTTCCGCAATTTATATTATTTTTTAACGATGTCAATTCGGGCCCTTGCTGCCACCCAGTCCGCCCATCCCTCGGACACGCCCTGAATATGACCGGCGGAATGTCTTATTCACTGTGATAACTCTTCTCACTATGGTATGCTTGTCCTTTATCGATGTTTAGTCTATAGCTTATATTTGGAGTACTGCTTAAGTGTTTCTGGCATTTTTCAATTTGATGTGTGTTGTTCCAAGCATAGAGCACCAGCTCCATTCATGACTTTCGAGAAGGCAGGTTTCCTTGCCCGGTAGTATAACCTTATATGTTATCAATCGTTTTATTCTGAGGAAGCCTTTCTTCTTTACACTCGTTTTCCTATTATCGGGATAGGTTATCCTCTCCTTCGCCCTCTCTCCTTGAGTCAATTCCTTGCATTGCTGTCTCCTTTTCAGTTTTTCCTCTTCTTTTTATTTTTTTCCTTCTCTCTCCTTTTTCCCCTTGTTCCTTTTCCGAGCAATGCGCCTATCTCACAGTATCTATTTAATTGATGCTTGTTGCTGAATGCCCTATCTCTCGAGGTCCCTCTCTCCCAGTTTCCCGTTCTTTTCCATACTGGGCTTGGAGAGGCTACGAAAAAGATGCTGCTTCGATGCACCATACACACTCCCAGCTTCATTTCATTTCTCTATGTGTTTAGCTACTGTCCTTACTGCATATGTTTATAGCTATTGTTGGGGTGTCTTGTATTCGGTTATGAATTCCTTTCTTATCCCACTGCTGCTCCCATTTGCTCTGCCGCGATTGTGATTTGTCGTCGAGTTCGAGTCTACAAGTAATATGTAGCGAGTACTGCGTATAATCTTATCTTATTCAGGCTGAGTTGACAGTCACGCGACGCGGCGTTCCGTGTAAGTAGCGGCACAGTCTCGGGGATCCTGATGCGCTCTGAGCTTCGCCGTTCGCAGCTGTATCTGCGCCACCGGCACACTTCCAATGGCAAAAGGTCGTTTGGCGTGCGATTCACCTGACCGCTGACTGGACGAAAGCTGTAGCCTCGCCGGAGCCACAGGGTAATTAACCGTATATGGTTAGCGCTAAAATTGCAAGTGGGGGCGTCGGAACATCAACGGGCCGATACGATTCCGAAAAGAGTCGGCGGTGGAAACTGTGGATGCGGCGGATTTGAAGGCGGGCGAGTTGATATTAGGCCGGGGAGAATCAGCGATAGTTTCTCTTTATTCAGATAGCATTTCATCCTGCCTATATTCAGGCGATATAGGCATACTTGCGATTTGGAGTTTAAATCTATAATGACATAGCGCACTGTTACCCTTAGACCCCTTGACGATTCACTTTTTCTCACGCCTGCTCTGCCCTTGGGGGCCCGGTGCGTCGAGAGCAAAGAACCATGCCTCCCAAAGCCGCGAGCAATCGCCAACCGGCGGCGCGCCGCCCTATCCAAGTAGACTCTGCGTCTCCAACTCCCGGTCCTTCAGGCACCACTCCCTCCGAGAGCTCTAGATCCTCCCTCCCCGCGCAAGCCACCCCCACCGCACGAGGAGGGCCAGTCCAACGTCTCCAGACCCTCAAAAAGCGTGCACCCTCGGGAAGTCTTGTACCTTTGAACCCAGATGGAACCGCCCCCAAGCCCACATTGAAATTCCAGCCGAAGGCCGTTGCGCGTCGCAGCAAAGAGGAACGAGAAGCCAGGGAGCGACTCGAGGCGGAGAGACAGAGAGAACGGATATCAGAAGCTGCTGCCGCAAGGCGCACGGCTACACGGGGCGACCGTGGGCGAGGCAGAGGTCGCGGGAGGGGAGGGGCGTTTGGTCGAATTACTGCGGACGTTGGTGGACCATTGGGTTCTGGCAGAGGAAGTAAATTCAAGGGCAAATACGGCCAATTCGGCGCAAAGCGCTCTGGCGTTTACGGGTCAGGCGGACACGGCGGAGGGGCAGATGTCTCGTCTGATGAAGGGAGCGACTATGGTCCGCGGTTTAGTATCGACCAGATCAACATTAGCAGCGATTCGGAGAGCGAAGCGATAGACGCCGGGAAAGACAAGGTGCCGGCGAAGAGCCCAGTGGGAGGTCGCGGGCTCCGACCTATTCGTGTGGAAAGACAAGAGCACGTGGAGCGCATAATGGATATCAATACCGATGCGAGCTCGAGTAAATCGGCGGAACTCCGGCGACAAGCCAAGCAGAAAACTGGCAACGACGACAGTTTGTTTGTTGAATCAGACGATGAAGAATTGGTCGAAGCCGAAGATGTTGAGATGGCTGATTCTGAGCAGGCTCCGCCTATCAAGGAAGAACCTACGGATGGCGATACGGGCGTCGCAGACGACATTCCCGCTGCGGGTGACGAGGCCGCTGCTCATGCTAGAGACACGGTCCCCGATAAACTGAAGAAAATTCGGAAAAAGGTCACCATAAAGGATGCACGAAGCATGCTACAAACAGAAGAAGAACGACAGGAGTATGATCGACACGAGGAAGATATAGAGCAACTTAAACAAGCGCTGGGGAACATTTCCACCGCCGACATAGCAACTGGTGCCGAGGCAGGTGATGAAAATAAAATAAACGCCGAAGCTATCAAAGATGAACGTCAAGGCCGGCTCTTCCTCCTCCAATTCCCACCCATGACTCCCAACCTCATGACCCCATCTGCCAGGCAAGATCAGTCCGACGAAACGACAACTCTCGATGGCGCGTCCACAGCACAGGCGCCTGAAACAATCACGATTAAGAAAGAAAACGGCACCACCGCCCATATTCCCCTAGGCGGATCCGCAAGTCTTACTGTCCCCAGCAAATCAGCCTCTTCTATTCCCTTTATCTCGGCGACGAACAGCCAATTTCCACCCGGCCGCGTTGGCAAGTTGAAAGTCTACAGGTCCGGTCGTGCGACGATAGATTGGGGCGGAATCAGTTTCGAGCTGAACAAGGGCACCGACGTTGACTTTCTCCAAGACGCCGTGGTGGCGTCGGACTCGAAACCGGGAGAAAACCACGGCGCCGATAGGAAAATCTGGGCGATGTCGCAGGTAACTGGAAAATTTGTGGTAACACCGGATTGGGATAAATTGCTCAGCGAGTGATGGTGAAGCTGGGGGAATTTTTCCTTGTTTTCTTGTTCATTTCCGTCAGCATTTATGAGCGCATAGACATTTGGAGGCATTCTCTTATTTGGCCAACGGAGTTATTATTATTACGCTATTTGGGTGGAGAAATAGGAAAAGTCTGTATCTAACTAGAAGTCTTGAATCTAGCATCGGTCTCTTCCGAGTTGAATAGGATATCTTTTTACCGTATTTGGATCCTCCTCCTGAACCCGCTCCCCCAAAACAGACACTCGCAATATTCATCGCCTATACGCAATTGTGCTTGAAAATGATAAGGCCCGGCAAATTTGAGTATGCGGCACATGATCAAGAGTTAAATCCCTACAGCATCTACACGCCATGGATATTGCCCATGGGGATTTGTATCCCAGGGACATCATGGTGGCAAACGATGATCGCGCGCTCCTTATTGATTTTAGCTCTGCCATCTCATAGCCTTATCATACAAATTTTCTGGTTCGCAAACGTGAAATCTTCCAGAGGTTCATAGATGATGAGAAGGCGGTCCTTTGAATTATTCTTCTTCCGATTTCAGAATATAAGCCATTTCCATCCCGCGTATTAAGTACCTCAGTCTTACGCTCAATGTATAGCAGTTAAAACATCACAAAGACATGGTCTTAACCCAGACTCGGCGTGAAGAAGAAGCATATGGCTATCCAATCATGGAGCGGGCGAACAATAATTATAGCTTCGACAAATGAGAACCCCATAACATGAACTTAATATTCAATCCGTGGGACCGTCTTTCTCAACTCCAGGAAAATATCATGGATACTCTTGAGACCGAGGCCCTCAAGGAATGAGAATAGCTGTTGGATGATAGACAGCTAAGTACGGAATTGTCTTAAGAGACATCATCTGGACAAGGACAGGGCACACCCATGGTACTCCTATGGTATGTATGTGCCAATAACAATTTTCTGATGTTCACAAATATTAGTATCTAACTGCCTTCTAGCCATGTGCCCCCATCCGTGATTAAAATGATCCGTCCGCATCTTCACACAGGAGACCGATTTTTTCACAATCAGCTGGGCAGCTTACGCACATACCTCAACCAGATGCCACTCGAGCTGGGTCAGTGGATTGATTGTAACTGGTTGGACAGGTTCTAATGATGTATCCGAGCAAAACTGTGGGCTGGGCCACCCAGTTCAGTGATGTATTCATTCTATTCCTAACTAGCCTTGTAACTCAATTGGACCTGCGATAACATTGAGACACCCGAGGTGGCCATCCTGCAGGTAGTCATGCGCTAAATCTAATGGTGTTCTTGGAGATCATTGCTGTCGGCAAATCAGATAAGAGCGTACAGGATTCTCCGTAATATGCACATATCATAGTCATGGTGGTGGGTGATATCCGGCCTGGACTGAGCAGAACGAGCCGAAAATGTATCCATGACTTAACTACATAACGCATGTGATGTAAGTATTTTTTTGGATATATTGAGGAATATCTACGGCACTTCTTTTTTAGTTACCAGCAGAAGGCCAATAGAAGAGTAGAGATGACACGAAAGTACAATACGTTGGGCAAATGCCTCAGTAATTAGGGGGGTGATAGATGTATCTAGGAAGGATCCGATAGGGGAACCGGATTTACTATCCACTAGATAGCTGCTGAAAGGTGATAATGCGGGGATTAAACAGGTTCTCAGACATAACAAGAGCAGCCTGGGTCTGGATGGCCGATATCTGTTGGGCCCCTCCTTTTGTAGGCTCGTCAGTCCGTTTCCCAATATGCAAGTAACTCTCTGGATTTCTTTGCGAATTGGAATTGGCATGGCTTAAATATGAAATCATGTTCGAAATATTTGGGATCGAGTGTCGATATCAACAATGGATCCCTTTTTCGTTGTAAGTGAATGGTGGGTGATATATTAGTCGATCACCGGACCGTCATGAAAAGCTAGCAACGCCATGTAGGCATATTGGAGGGCAAAGCGGACGTTGAGCGATCATTATCAACTCAGCCAAGCATTGCGACCATGGAACCGCTGTAATCATCAACCTTAAAACCAGTCAAAGTATGGCTCCCCTCGTCATTTCAGCTAGCCAAAATTGCAAATCAAGATCGAAAGATTTTCCGCATCTTAGATCAGGGTGCCTTTGAGCTGGTGTCCGAGTGAACCCGGGCTTAGAGTGTCTGGAGTGTTAGCTAAAGCAGGAGCTACATAAGAACTCAGAAATTCGCATTAGAAGGTCTCAACCCCCCAGCTTGCAGACATCATTATCGTTGAGTGAATTATTTTATTCCCCGACTTGACTGGCGGAGTAACCGGCAGCTAATGTGCTGTCCGCGTTGCCAAAAAACGATACCCAAACCTTCCCAACCTGGCGGATGGCATCTCGAAGATTAGCGTGTCACTTACGAGCGGACAAGCAATCTGCTTGATAGAACTAAGGATATTCCCAAAGAAGAACATAGGATCATTCGGAATTCAGGGACCTTCTTGATAACGATGCGAGCCTCCGAGCCTCCGAGCCTCGCTACTAGAGGAATGTTTGACGAAATACCCCATCAGTTAAGGCCAAATACGGACAAAGAATCACGTATCAAGTACAATGTCGGGAATTGTGCCTTGTTGCTCCGCAGATTGCCAGAGGGCAAGCGGCCTGTTGCGCGATCGCATTCTGACCCAGCTAAAGACACGATCATTATCAATGCTTGCGAGTCTAGTTCCTAAGCAACATAGCTGAACGTTCGCGATCATCGATTTGATGAATCCTCAGCAAAAAGCCTCCCAATTCGAGCACGGCACAATCTTTCAGGCATTTCTCAACACGGGAGGCTATCATCGCTGGCACGGTCCGGTGGATGTGGTAATAAAACAAGGCCGTCATAGTTCGGGAGCATACTGTTCGGGAATTCGCCCTCACGCTGCCTCGGACCCTTCAGTGCCAGGGAACACCCAGCATCTCGTCGCTTCGATGGCGATACGGGCATTGATTTTCATCAAGGCCAAGATTATTGTCGTCGGAGTGGATGTTATCCAGTTGTCAAATCACGGTAGTCGAGGGGTAAGAGGTCGCAAAGGGACAAGATATCGGGATGTTCCACCAGGGAGGCATAGCTCATTGCTTGCTCCTCTAGCTTGGCGTGGGTAAGCTGGGAGGGACGACCATTAGGGGAGCCGGTTAAGGTGAACAGCGCGTTTGCTTCTGTGGAGGAGTGGGAGTTCGACTACAGCCAGCATTTCGGGGGCGCGTGTTTTTCGGCCGTATATTTGACTAGTAGTTGAAATATGAGCTATCTTAATTTCTCAGTCGAGTAATTAGCGAGCAGAATAATTGCCGCCTTGGGGTTCCATGGCTTACCTGTATTCTGTCGTGCATTGAAGCAGAACAAGCGCGACGGCGGGTTTGGTGGTGTTTGCGTTGTTTGCTTCTGCACTTCATCGACCCGCCTGCAAACAAGACAAACATGGCTTCAATCTGCTTTATTCGGACATGCAAATCGAGCCCTTGTCACTGGAGAATCACAAGTCGTGTTCGCCTTATCAAAATTTCCTTAGGTTTCCCTCCTGATCAAGCCTTCTTTTCGCCCTCGATTTCTTCCCAAAGACGAAACTCTCGACAGTACAGACAGCCTCCCCCATTCCAAACCGACTTTGGGGGGGTGGCTATTTCCCAGCTCAGGCCGTGCAGCAAGCACCTCAGCAATACAGTCAGGTACCTGTTTGCACGGAGGTATTGTGGAACAAATTATAAGCAGCACACTGATATCCTGCAGAAGCCAGGCCGGAAGCATGACTACGACCTGTCACTGCCGTGGAGTGATCACTACGATCTTGTCTGCTCATTCACATTAACACGTCCTGAGTTTTAGGGAGCTGCCAATAGTGGCATAGGGCCTATAGCTTTTGATGGCAGTCCGTGCTCTGCAATCATTTCTACAGAGTGCAAGGTCTCATAAGAACGCAAATTATTATTTTATACTGGTCTCAATCACCATGTGTTCAAGGAATCTTCAAAGGATTGTGTTTTGCTTATTCTCTAGAAAAAAGACTCCTAAACTTCCAATAATGACGGCACCAAATTTCTAGTTACTTTGTTCTAGGACATTTCGCCACTTCAACATTCATCATTTCCCCACCAGGTGCTCTCCCACCTCAGCTTCCTAAGCGTCAACAAGGCAGCAAAAAGCCAGGAGCCATGGGGCTGTTTGACTGACGAGCAAACATCTCCGCTGATGCAAATTAAGGTTAAAGCTTGCATGCCAAGCTTTGCGGCTCCAATTTCAATTGGCGCAGAAAATCAGCCAATTGAACTGACCGACAGAGTGGAGACTCCAACCAATTGCAGCGCACAGGGGTGACGACGTAATGGTCCAGGGATCTTCGTGTGATGGACAAGCAGGACGAAAACAAAACATCAACACAAGCTTCGCTTCTTTAACAATTGAACCCGTTCCCATCATCGTTGATACTTTTCCTCTTGCTAGTTCCTGTTATATCCAACCTCTCACTCGGAAAGGGGCTGCAACTGCCAAGTTGATCGAGCAGCGACAGCCCTTAAATCTTCTCATCCGGCCTTCGGTGCACACCCGTCTCATAATGCGGCTTCCACAATCCCTCGTTTTCCTTGCCATTGGGAGCTCTATCCCCCTTACAAGCGCATCCCCGCATGCATACGAACTGGCCCCGGCCGACCGACAGCCAGCACTTCTGTCCTTTGCCCCAAACCAACTCCCGACCCCTGGTTCCTCCCTCTCGCTCTCCCGACCTTCCGCAACCAATTCACCCGTCCTAGACGAGCGAGAAATCGTCAATGCACCTCCCGTCGCCCAGCCTACAAAACACTCACAAATGTCCCCTGTGATGACGGTCAACATCGGTGGGAAACCGGTCCTGTACACACAAAAGTTCTCCGATGTGCCAGACCAGTGGCCGCAGCCGAAGCAAGGGACGATTGGACTAGGATCCTTGAAGGGGAAGATTGGTCAGACGAAAACAATTGGGAAGCGATCTCCGGTGGAAACTACGACGCTAAACGCAAAACAATTCAGATGTAGGACGCCGGAGTGTGCGAAGGCACTATCCGAAGACGCAGTCATCCTCGGCTGATGGATTACTCTTTCTTCTCTATGAACGTGGGAAGCTTTCAGGTGGATTTTCTCTATGGATGGATGGTCGTGGCGTTGAGAAGTACAGACGGATATTTTGAGTCCCGTGGTAAAACGATGCGTGAATACGCACCATGGGATATAACAGATGAATGAACTTTTCTTGGGAGTACACATTTAAGACCTTCAGATGGGTAGAGTAACATTGTACTCCTCGACCTGAGTCATATGCAGCTTAATTCTTTGTAATTTAATGGTACTTGTCTTTATCACTTTCTTGCACTTGACATGGATGGCCCCGTCTGGGTCTATTATATATGTGAGTACAGGTTCCCGATGCCAACGCCATTTAATATCAATTCACAATAAAGGAGATACTTACACGTGTACATGCAGGTTCTTATTTTGAAAATAGTGGTTCCACAAACTTTCCCTCAATCCGACACCATTAAGACCCCACAAAACGCAGAAAAGCTCTTCATGGTTCCTATAAGCCGGTGTTTCAGATGGACAGCCTATATCTGGAGCATAGCACGAACATTTTCATTTCCATGATTCAATGGAAACGTTGAGAGATGATCAGAATATAACCCCGCCTCCCGCCACTCCCCAAGTTATGCTTCCATCCATTTCACCAACACCCTTCCTAAGATGCAAGCCATTATAACTCCAAACGCAACTCTTAGTTTCCGATGTGGCAATAAATACCCTCCTCCAATCGTAGCTCTCAAGACCCCATAAATGCCTGGAAGTGGTCTCAAATACTTTACCCTATCAAACGCTGCCGTGCTCGCGGCCGGATCAGTTTTAACCTTGTCATATACACTAGGCAATAGTGACGAGTGGTACTTTTTCCGCAGCGCATCATACGTCTCACGGTCATATATGGTCCAAAATTCGTTCTCCGTGTAAAAAGTCTGGGCATAGAGCCATTTTGCGCCACCAAGGGAGTAGACCATATGTTCCAGGGCGCGGTTCGCTTCGATAAAGGCACGGTGAGAAGAAGGCCCGGGAGTCCATAGGCCGACATTAAGGAGCATTGTATCTTCTTCTTCTCCTACTCCGTGGACGACCCGTTGAGACTCAGGCGACTTTGACGCCGGTAATATCTGGGGATGAAAAGATGCATAGCCTTGTGGATGCGGCTTAATGGGACATAACCACAGCGGATATCGGTCAAATTTCTCGTTCAAGTAATGGATAAAGTCGCCTGCTGCAGGCCACGGCAGCGCCAGATCTTGAATGATAAAGCTGCTGGAAAGCCTGCTCTTATGCAATGCATGGTACATCACGCGTGTATGCATGAAATAATCCAACAGCCAGCGCGTAAACCTGTTAAACGGGAAATAGAAATATTCGTATGCGAATTGGGCAACCCAAAAGCCCCCACGATCGTACCGGAAGAGATAGTCCACCAGCGGAATATACTCGATTATTCGTTCCCTGTGTGATTCTCGGCAAAGTTGTTCGGCATGAATATAAAACCACTCATCAGCTGGACGGCTGAAGGTCCGAACGCTGCTTTTCCTCTCTACATCAACAGCGCTTGCCATATGACCTGTAACAATCACGCCTCGATCCTTCGCAAAGAGGATACCATCCACATAGTCAACATTTTCATCCCGCATCTTCTCCCGCAACACGCTAATCGCCTCTTCGACACTCTGCACAGGGAAATATCCCACCTTAACCCACTTGCTGGTCTCAATCAAGTTGATTTCCAACAGCGTCGTAACCCCTATTGTGCCAAAGCTCCCCGAGACGCCCCAGAACAAGTCATCGTTCTCTCCGGAATCCGGTCGAGCAGTAACCACATCCCCATTGCCCAACACCACCTCGATCCACGTAACGGTTCGATCAAAGAACCCGTACCGAAACGAGCTGCTTTCTCCTCCGGTCCCCGCAAAGGCCCCGCCAACGGTGATGCCGGGAAACTCCATCACCACAGGTGGAACAAGGCCATGCGGCAGCGTAGCTGCAACGAGCTTATCCATGGGAACGTTCGGCTCCACGAGTACGGTTTTTTTCTCGGCGTCGACTTTCAAAATACGTGTGAAAGAGCTGATGTCCACGATCCTGTCAGGTTGGAATGACTGAGGACGGGTGCTGTTCGTAGAGCCATGATAGATCCGAAAAGGCAGGCCGCGAGAGTACAGTCCACGAATGGTCGAGGATACGACGTCCACGGCGGCCTTATGCTGCTCCATTATTTTTGATGATCCAGGATGAAAACAGATATATCCGTCTATGGATGGAATGTTACGTCCGTTGGACTCCCTTCCCTTGAAAAACGGAGCCCTAGCGGCGAATATGGGACCTCACGTTGTCCCAAGGGTTAGTAGTCAACACCGTTAAGCATCCAATATAATCACCTGCGAGTCGCGTGAGTTACGTTGATGGCGCATTGGAGAACCGTGGTCGTGGTCGTCGACAACAAAGTAGAACCTTAGTCAGAAAGCGTTTATAGAGCAGTCAGCGCCACTTAGCCACATCTGGCAGTTGATTAACATGACGGGCAGCGATGCAGCTGGTGAAAGCGCCGCTCCTGGCACTCGCGCAATGTGTAAGTCTTACCTACAGGGAAAGCGAATGGAAGCCCGGGATTCAGGTGTAGATTTCTCACGAATTCAGTGTATATACAATTACATCAAGTGCACCCATTCCCATTAACGGATTCGCAAAGCGTCATCCGATTTATTATATAGTATCCCAAGATTTATTCCTGCTTCTTAAAGCAAGGAAGCCACTTGTGCAATGCAGCTCTCCACAACTGTCTGGACTTTTCTCCCGCCTCGAAGTAGGATCTAAAATCATAGCAGTGCTGCGCGTTTGGAACTATGTAGCCAAAGATCTCCCGCGGCGATGTTGGCTTATTGCACTCCGGAATTTCAGTGATGATGTCGACCTTCGGGGCAAACCACTCTTGCGAAAGCGGGGAGAGAGATCTCCACGGGTCATATTGTCCTCCACTCCAGTAAGTATTGGATGGACGCATATGCCAGCCGCCGGTGGCCTTGTTCGTCTGGCGGGCCTTAGGGCGGCGTGGAAGGTAGCCGCTCTTGAGGCCATCGGGGAATTGGCGATAGCAAAGAGACGTCTGGATATAGCGATCCGTTTGGAAATCGGAAAGGATCTCGTGGGGTGGCCAGTTTTGATACTGGAAGTATCCCCATTCGCTGCAGTACTGCCATGTCCAAGCGATACCTGACGGATCTGCCACTCTCTTTCCAAGGTTGCACATGGTTGGCTCGTCTGGGTTTTCGCCCTTGCAGTTCGTCTCAAAGGCGGCGTTGACACGGGGAACAAGACCCGGCCATGCTGCAAACCGCTCTACCACTGCCTTGGCGCCTTTAGTTGGCGCCCAACCCTCAGCAGGAGCTGTCTTATTAGTTTTTGGGTCCGTTTCGAGCCAGTTGCAGAATTGTCCGACTCCGCCGTCTGGTCCTTGACTCTGCCATGTGGCCCAAGTCCAGATCAAAGCCTGTGTGAAGTCGCCATTGGTATTGTTCTGTGCTGTATCTCCAAGGAAAAGCTTCTTTATCTCGGCAGCACTCTCGCCCCGACGAAGCTTTGAGTCCATGTACTTGTAGGCAGCGCGGACATCCTTAGTGCAATTTCCATAACCGTATGCCACCAAACCCCTGTAGACCTGCTCGTAGTAAACACTCATATCAACCTGAGCTTGTACAGGGGCACAGGCAGCGAAGGAAGCAAAGATAGTTTCTGGATATTGGTCTCTTGTGAAGGCAGCTCGCATTCCAGGATACGAGCCGCCGATCATGACCCATGGTGTCGACTTTGGTGTCAGGTCATCGTCTGGAAAGTTCTCACGTTTGAAATTTTTGGCAAAGTATGGGATATCAGCCAATGCTTGCTCGTTGTTTAAGTATTGAAAGTGTTCGGCGGGAGTGTCGAGATTGACCGGGAAGGGATTGGATTCGCCATAATATCTTGATCAAGGTTAGCTTTTCGGATATGTTCCTAGTTGGAACAAGCCACGTAGGTACGTACCGGTGCTCCCAGACGATACCCATACCGTGGAACTCTTCTAGTAATTGAACGAAAAACGAGGTTTCATTCACAAGATAAAAGTCCGCGTAGCGTTGAGCATTGGCCTCGCCGCCATCAAACAAGAAGACCGGGCCTCCGGATTTGTACTTGGAATCGTTAACCCAGAAGCGATTCTTGTACTTGGCATCGGGGTTCTCATGGTCGATAGGAATCTATAGACGTGCCAGTTAGACTACGTCCTCCGCAATAAAAACCAAATTCCTATCGAGCTCTAAACACACCTCTGTGAATTCCGCTTCTGGTGCGCCGCTCTTTTCGGCGTGATGTTTCATAGCGGCTTTGAAACCGGCACGGTCGGCGAAGACGGTTTCAGGGTCGATGCCCATCACCCCGGCCATCTCTAGATCTTGTTGTAGGGTAGACCATCCCATTCCAAAGGACGCTCCTAGACCTAAGAGCGTGGCGAAGGCAGTGCCTCCGAGAAGTTGATGAGAAAACCTCATCTTGTCAAGTGGGCTGGTGTATGACGGGCAATTCTGCGTTCAATTCCCCACAACGACCAACTCCCCTTGGGAGTGTTGCAAGAACTTATATCCTGTTCTTCTCGGAGAAATAAGCGTAGGCTCATGTCGGCATGGGTTCCAGCCATATACTCCATATTCATCTCCCCCCTGTCATCAGCCCCAGCCCAAATTGCTCCGCAACCGCAGGCCCGATAAGAAAACTGTCATGCCACAAACCTTAATTTAGTATGGCTGAGGAGTCGTACGTGCTGTACGCTGCAGAGCCCACAGTCTCAGCCCACGAAGGTGAATAAACTGGGTCTCCTGCCATGTCGAGAGAGCAGGCACTCACTCGGGGATTCATCCCCGAAGCCCTTAAACCAAGATGGGCTTCAGATGGGGAGAAGGCTCTGATGTGGAGCTGTTGCAGCCCTATATCCTAATATCTTTGTGATTGGCTTTAATCATACAAAACCCAAGGTTCTGAGCTCCTCCGTTGGAGTTAGTTATGTTCTCGAAGCATGAAATTTAGAATTGTGGCATGCGAGTAGTCCTGGTTCGGACCTGGGCAGCCGTCTTCGAAGTGCACGACATGCCGCCCAAAAGTTGCAGAACCGAGGAATCCATGCCGATCCCTGAGAGAGGTCCATATGTCCTCCGTAAGTTACATCAACATCCATACAAATGCGCTCTATGTGGGGTGAGCAATGGGTTGCTGGCTTCCCATTCTCATTTCATTTCTGGCCGCGTCGGTGTATGTTGGGAGTTTCTGATTGGCCTTCCAAGGCTACCCGGCATTATGCTCGGGTTTCCGTCCCTCACCAGATGCTGGGGATGTTGGTTTGGCAATCTTCTAGAAATCCCAGACCGCGTCTTCCTCCCAGCAAGAAAGGGAGGGGTTAAAAAGACTGTAGCCAACCACTCGTTCCGTCCCTTGCACCGGGGCAGAGAGACACTGGGCATTAATCCCGGTAGGTAGATCCTGACACCATCTTAACTTTGCTTCGTTCCAACACTCTCTTGCCGGTAAGGGGAACTGATTGAGCTTATGATTTTGTTTTTGGGAAGCAAGCAATGAGACGGTGGAGAGAGAACGATCGAGGGTGATCTCCGCACTGACCAACGTGGCAAACTTCTGGGATCCGGCTCCAACCCGCGGCTGTAACCCTGGAGGCTGGACTCACTGACCAAGATATCGTCGGACGACAATTCCTGGGCGGTGGGGTGAATGCCCGGGATGGGCAGTGTAACGTCCACAAGGTTGACATGTTTTCCAAATAAAATAAAAGAAAAATAAAGAAAGGGGAAATCTCCAGGACTCAAGAAGAATCAGACACGGAGGTCAATCAACAGGATGGACTTCTTGGGCTCTCGACGGATCCCGCCTTGTCGTCGTTCGTCGTAGTAGTAGTACATGTCGCCTCTCGTCAGCTGTTCGCGGGCCGAAAACGTGTTTGTCGTCGAAAGGCGGTTCATTGTGGCGCTAAACTGACTTTGGCCTAGGCGCGTCGATCTCGTATCCCGCCAGACAAAACATCCTCAGACGACCGCAACATCAACGCGACCGCTGACAGGCATCTCCCGGCAACGCAGAGCGCACCAGGAAGGTGCTTTTAAACGAGGATCTCGCTCCGGTCAAAGATGATCTGTGAATCACATCAATCCTTTCATATCACGGCTGGCATCGGCCGTGGGAAATATGGAATGTGCTCCTGTCCGTGAATCCCGTTGTGCTGCCCTTTTCGATGCCCCAGATTTGCAAGAACACTTTCCCGTCTCCGTGGACTCCGGACGGATTGCGGAGAAGTGTATCTTTGCGTAACAATATTCCGTTTGTTCCGCCGCTGCCCCCGGAAAAGTCGTGGAATCTCTTTTTCGGAATTTCTCTCCTCCAAATGACACTGTCAAAAGGACTAAAGACGGAACCTATGTCTCATCATCCGTGTTGCGATTTTGGGGCGGTACAGAGTACCCGATGTCTGTTGAACACTCGGGGCAGTCAAAAATAAAGCAGGCGAGGTACTATTGGATCCTCGCCTAGGATATGATAGGCCGGGGTACGGTGCTGGTGGGTACTATGTACTCCGAACCACAGCGGACTCCATCCCATACTTTCACCCTTCAAACTGCTTAAGTTCAATCAATGGATGACGCTGTGCGCCTGTGGCAAGTTTGTGATGAGCTTGTCCCAATTCTGGAATATCAGGATTGTAGACAAATTTTGACGTATCGCTTCGCCATGGTCTTTTCAGGTCAATACCGTTGATCCTTTTACCACACAGCCGTCAAAGCTTTTCGTCTGTTCATAGATGGGAAGACTGCCCTTTTTGGGAACAGCCTCGACTGCCATATGACCGAATTGGTCGAGCACTGACGTTTGATATCTCTGGCAGTATCCCAATACGTGGTGCGAACGGTGTGATGGTATTCAGCAAAAGGATGCCAGTGACGCGGCACCGCAGCACCTTGGTCGGATTATCACCAGAAGTACTAGGACGACTCGAAGCGCAAAACCAAGGCTGATATGATGTGGATGTGCCTTTTCTGTTAGTCATCGCCCTGATCGGTGCCCCGGCGTGATGACAATGACATCCCGCAGTTTCTGTTCCGAGGAGGCTTTTTTCAAACGACGTTTTCGGTCCTCCCTTCGCGAGAAGCAAATTTGAATGTATTCTTATGGATTGCAATAATCACTCAGTTCAGAGCGTCCCGCATCTCTCTTTATGATGGTGTTGTTCCTAGGAAGCGTGTGCTGACACATGGAAATATTAAGGGGCATTCCAGCTTGACCAGATGTTTGGGTTTGAAGAGCTTTGTCCTCGAGAAGAGCTCTAATGCTGTGGATCCAGTATCAAAACGAGAAATTCAGAAATTAGGGAAACGAGAGCACACTGCGACGGCATGTGGCTATATAACAAAGGCGCGATTAGTTCAAAGTTTACCAACCACCATGATTGAAAATCTTACCTGTACTTGTCTTGTCTGACTGCTATGAGACCTGATTGAAGGCAAGGGGCATCCATCAAGTTTCGTTACCCCCGCTTCGAATTCATGCCACCACACATGTCGCTTTCAGGTGAGAAGGATATCTAACTGGCATGTTTATCAGCCTTCCACAAAGCACTCCCAGATATCGCGGGGAGTGATGACGACAAGCAGCGTAATTTTGGCTGGGAAGTTTGCCCGGCTGATGCCAACTTGACCATCCTAGAGTCCACGGCGAGAATTTGTCTGTGCAAGTCTTTGCATCGTTTCCCCGGTACATAGATCCTCTGGCCTCTTACCTCGCAACCAATGCTAGATATATACTCCATATATAGAGATAAAATTCGGAGACTCTGAGATCCTAGCTTATTCCAAAATTTCATCGCAAACAGAATAACAATCAATCATGTCTTGTAGACACTCAAAGCATCCCAGTGGCTACCACGGCCTGACACCGGTTGGAACACGCACACCAGCAGCAATTAAGACAAAGTTTTCTTCCAGAGCCAACTTTTTTTTGACTAACCACACCTCACGCACCGAAAGGAACACAGAATTGAACAGGGATCCCTATGAGGCTCAATCACCCACCGTCGCCTTCTCACGAACGTGTTTGCCGTCAACCATCACCCATGTTGTCGGCGTAGTAGTTTCGAGAAGCCTCAGTCCCCGCACATGGTCTTCCTTCAGGCTGCCTACCACACACAAAAAGAGAGAGAGAGAGAGAGAGAGATATCTAAGGATACCTCCGGCCCGGCAACTGAGCATTACTTAACTAACTAATAATTCACGAGGCCTGCAGAAAGAGTGTAGCACCCTTTCCCCCATGTCGCTCCACCTCCACATCTTTTTTCTTCTCCCCCGCAGATATGCGGCTACGTTGGTGGGATCGCGTCTTGTTGATCTAAGACATGTTGCATGCATTGTCCTCCGCTCTCGCAAACAAACAAGGTCTCCCTCCCCCCCCACGCGACGCCCCGTGCACACGGAGGATTCGGTGGGCTGGTTGCCTGTGACGACCGCAGTGCCGGACCTACGTCATTATTGGACAGGGATAAAAGGACTTCCGGACCTCCTCGCAGCAGGCGGCTTTGTGCCACTGTGCCAATCTTGCTTTGGAATTTGCACCTTTATATGATTGAGTCTACAAAAAAAGGTCCTCTTGAGGGGTCTATCGATATATATGTGCAGTTCAAATGCAGCGAGAATGTAAGAAAATAAAATGAAAGGAACAGAAAAGGGCAGAGCCTTTACGTTGAAGGCAAATCTGACAGAAAGAGTTCACGCATTCAACATAAAGAAACAATCAAGATGAGGCAGAACCATGTAAACGGGGCTCATGCCCACAAAGTAGATCCCAGAATAGAAGTCAAGAGGAACATCCCCAGGAGTGTCACAAAATACATAGGTCTGTCAAACAGTATGTGATTGAAAAATATGTTCTTTAAAAAAGAAAAAAAAAAAAAAAAAAAAAAAAAAAAAAAATGAATGAATGAAGGCAAAAAAATGAAAATATCATCTCTGTGAAAAAAGTTATCATGTTCGTCGTGATTGTAAATGGCTCTTTGGTCTGTTCCATTGATTGGCTCTCAACGCTCGTAAAACTTTTTCCCGTCACTAGCTTGAGTGATATGGAAGTTGTCACAGCGAGGTCCTCGAAACTTCTCGCTTGGCCTAGCCACCAAGGTTTCCTCAAGCATTTGAATTGACAGCAAGCGGGTGGGTCTTTTCACGATCGACTTTCGTCAAACTCGGGCGACTGCAGATTAGCCCGTGTCGTCGTTCGATCGACAGCTTTTGCACACTCAGGTGGCACCTCCGCGCTTTGTGAATCAGGTTCCCTTGTCTTTCGATAATTTGGCGACCATGGTTCATCCTTGATGTCTTCGCGGATAAAACATTTTGTCCCGCTTGGCCTAATGGTCACGGCAAAGACGACAGCAGCCAGCCGTCATAACGGTTGGCGGCATAGAGACGCTGGGAGAAAGACAACCTACCACGTATCGACCATGGGTCGTATGCCCAGCAGCCTTTCCGGGAAAAAGCGGACACAAAGCAGCTAGCCGCTAGTCCTTCGAGAAGATCCAAAGAATGCAACCTCGAGAAGCGCAGCGAATGGCTTGGAACGGAGGGCGAAGGGCGCACTACTTCGTGCCAAGGGCCCAGAGACTCGGACTCCACCCCGGCCATCCGGCCCCATTTATATGATCGTCATTAATATCTCTGAATAGACACGAATGACAACCATGGGATGTGGTGGGATTCCGCTGCTTCGGGAAGAGGGCGGGTTACAAGAACCCGGATTCCGACAGCAATCTACTCAGCCAGAAGGGGAAGAACAGAGTTGTCAGCTAATAAGTTAAGACACACCCAGAATTTTTATGCGCCGAGGCGACTTTTGTTAGAAGGGTGACGCAGATAGAAATTGGAGGAAGGCCAGAACAGTCAGTGCATGGGGCACAGAGAGAGAGAGAGAGAGAGAGAGGATGGGAGATATCTCGGACTGGGGCCCAACCCAACCACGAGCACAATTTACACGCCGTGCGTTGTTGGCCCATGTGCCCTGACTTTGGCCAATCCCAAGGATGGGGCGCTGTTACAACCTTGTTGCAGTCTTCGCTTCGGAAACACTTGGCACACGTGGGCTTGCCATCCAATCAAGGGAAGAGTGCAAGGATGTGCTGTTTTGATGATGTCAAGCGGCGCGGGGAACACCGAACAAGCAGCAAACAAAACGCAAGGCAAGGCAGGAAAAAAAGGGAAAAAAAAAAAAAAGGAAAAAGAACAGGAAAAAGAAAAAAAATCCGAGAGTGAGTGTTCAATGACCGCCAACGGATAGAGCAAGTGCAAACATGGATGGATCGTATAATCTACCATACCTCGCAATTTTCTCATCTTCCCGTTCTCGAGGTTCGACCTCCAAACTCCGGTCGTACATCTCGTGCACATCCCCGGCTGCTTGCATGTTACTCAAAACGTAGTCCTGCAGCTCCGGCACCGGCTGTAGCTGATAAGGTGTGTTCTGGTACTGCTGGATGTCTCGGATCACTTCCGCCGTCTTATAGCGCTTGCTAAAGTTTATAAGATCGGAGGGTGTTAAGGATGGTATTCCGTCTTCGATAAAGGTGAGATCGGTCAGATATACGCCTAGGAGCAAAGAACCATCAATATACACCCCGTTAAACACGACAAAAACCATATACTCCCAAGCCCAAGGGGAATTCAGAAGATTACCGAAAAATGGGATGCAAGGTGGTGTTGCAAGATGCAACGTCTCACGGTACTCTCCGAAGTTCTTAGTGCTGGCCATGAGCTTACGCATCGCCTCCAAAGTCAACGAGGTCTTCTGGCTAACTTGCGACCACGTCCGGTTCAACCGGTGGATTGGCGCGGTTCCGAGAGCCGAGATGATCGACGTCAAAGTGGAGTAGTTGTTCATCTGCCGACATTTCTGAATGATTTTTTTGGTTAACATAGTGAATAGCCAAGAAGAGGAATGCTCAAGGTTAAACCTACCTCTGCAACCGTGACAAAATGCTTGATGACGACCATTCTTCTCTTCACATCCGATTGAGTTAAGATCATCTCTGCCACCCAATTTGTCAGCTGATTGGAGTGTAAGATAAGCGCTTTGACATTAACGGCAGGGTCGGGCTCATCGGGTCCGAGCTTCTTCTGCCATGTCTTATTCAAGCATTCTGTAGGTTTGATCTTGGCATATAGTCTCGATTCAATGATCGTAAGCTGCCTTGCGAACTCGGTAGGGTCGATGTCAAGGAATTTTATCTTCTTCATATTCTTCGGGAGAATAGGAGTGGGTGTGTGGGCACTAAGCGTAGGCACTAGGCGCCTAGCTGTGGTGTCTAATCCGCGTATTCGCTGATCAATTAAGCTGAGCAGCTGAGTGGTACCGGGAGTTCTAGTATTTGTGACTGCATTTGTCACAAACGCGTGAATTCGTCTTAGCAACAGGGTGTTGGCATTGTCATTTGGTTCCATCCAATAAGTCTCTAACCAACTCTTAAGGATACTAACAACGCGGATCCGAATCGGGTTTTGTTTCTGCTCTGTCCAAGATTGCAATTCTGTCACATTCAGGCCTGACGGAGGTTGGAGAGTAAACCGAAGGACAAGCATTTCAAATAGTTCGGACGCTGTAGTGAATGATCTGTACGTAAGGAGGAAGGTGTCCTTGAAGGAAGGTTCCAGTTTATCGTGGCGCGTCAACTGCTCGACTAGTCCAGCCAATGTACCACATTTTACCTGGGGTACTTCAGACTTGGTATCATAGAATACCTCTCCTTCATGATCAAGACTTAAGAACCAAGGAGTCTCTTCAACATCTCTAATAGGCTGTTCTCGAGGGACAGGCTGTCCAAAGAAGCGCTGTGCCTTATCGAGAGTACGCTGCGGCTGTTCTATCAAATCTTCGCCATTTATTGGATAAGACGATGGAATACCGATAGACTCTGGCGGAACGCGCCTGACTTGGGACTCCGAACGCATCCGCATTGGCGCAGGGACATCCGATTTGCCTCCCGGAAGGTTTCCTGGGCTTTCCAGAGGTGACTGCTCCAATAACAGTGTGAGAGAGAACCCGATTTGAGACATATATTGCTCCAGTTGCCTCGTTATAACCTTAACATCATTAAGACGGGTATCGAGCGCATCGGATCGAAGTTCGGCCCATTCATCAGCCAACGGTGCCGACATTGCTTGGCAGGCTAGGACGAGGTCCGCGACACCGTCATACGCCCGTTGCTTTTGGAGACTAAAGTCTGCTAACTGCGGGTTTTGAAGGCTAGTGCCCAACGGAGCAAGATCGATTGATTCGATATGGGACATCCACGGCCGGAAAGCCTCCAGAATGCGAACGCAGGCGGCGCATACAGCATCTCCGATTGTAGCATGTCCGCCAGAGGTCACAATTTTATCCTTCAGACTAAGCTGCTTATCCAAATAACGACAGTTGGCAACCACCGCCTTTCGAAGATCATCAATTCGGTCAAGAAGGGCAGAATCAAGTGCCGTCGAAGGAGTAGCGCGGAGATCTCGGCCTGAATCGTGCTCTAGAAAAGCCGTGGGATCTTTATCACAGAGATTATTGTTTTGCCAGTGCCCTCCAGAAGTGCTACCACTGACGAATCCAGGCACCAGCCGCCGGATATCCTCTCCTTTTTGTTGCCTAGCTATATTAACATAGCCATAAACGCCGGAGAGGACGCCCTCGGCTTCATGAAGGCATTTCTTCGACGAGTCTGGAACGGGCCAATCTGCAGCCGCAATATGGGACGACAAGACCAACTTGGAAAATTTGGACATCATGTCACGGAAATGAGGATACAGCGCCTTGTTGGTAGAAATGATAGACGGGTTCCCCGAGTGATTATCGGTCGTACCAGAGCCTGCAGCCAGAAGCATTCGCAAGTGGTCTGAAATATCCTCTGCTCTACTCACGAATTGGGACCGGTCTCCTGCCAGCATCGCCTGTCGATACGCCTCAATAGCCTGACGCATATTTTCGACCAACGATGCCCACGATGGCGGAACCTGTGTGGCATCATCAAGAAAATATCGAGGGACGGAAGAAGAAACGGGGGCTGGTGCAGACCGTATACACAAAGAAGTCGTAGCCGCCGCGCCGAAGTGAGAGGTAGAGGAGTGCAACTGAGTCCCGGCGCTCCGTGGAGCCCGCGAATCAAGAAGTTTTGCAACGGGTGATGGATTTACTGAGTCTAAAGAGGTTGCAGGAGACACTCCGTCAGATAAGCCCGAACGACGTCGTCTTGATGAGGACTCATTTGATGTGAAAAGAAGGGATTCACCTTCAGCTTCGGATGCAGAACCGTCATAATCATGCTCGTACCCACCGAGAGACCGGTTAACTAGGTCGATTGGCGCACGAGTGTGTTCAGGGACGTAAATATTCGTCTGATTCCGCGGTCCAGACTCATGGGGCGAGGTTGGCGTTTCCAAAGGAAGCTCCATTGTACTATAGCCCGTCAAAGTGTTGTAATAAAACAATCGCCCGTCCGCCGTAGCTTGGGGGATCCAATACGCTGCCTCTTCCTGAGTGGCAGGAGCCATGCTCTCGATCGGGAGAATGGATAAATCGTCTCTTGAATTTCCCTGCGAATCCAGGTCATCATCGTTATCGTCCTCATAGTCATCTTCTGTACCAGATTCGATACTTAATTCGGCCGCAAGATTGGCCCGATCACAGAAGGCGTCGGGGCCGGGGACAACAGCGCAATAGTTGCTTGGAAACCAACCACGAACGTCGCCGATAACACCATCCCACCACCCCGTTTCCAACTGATTCAGGACCTGTATGATGTCCCCTTGTCGGAAACTTAAGCTGGTGTGGTCATCCGAAGTATAGTCGTACAGGGCTTTGACGTATAGCCCCGGTGGTGCCTCAATCGGAGACCCGTAGCCTATAATTTTATGAATCAGCATCAAACCAAGCTATTTTAGCTGCGAGCGCCGTTTACTGTGTACCTTCTTCGGCCATTCCCCCCGTCTCAGCGCTAGAGTGGTTATCGGTGTTGCCGGTATTGGACATATCTATGCAATGGGCCTAGATTTCGTCCTGCGAACGTACGTATGCGTGCGCTTTCAAGCGTTTAGAAAAAGTCGAGCGCAAAGGGATTTTGACCGAGGGCCACAGCGAACGAAGGAGCAGGCGGATAAATAATTCTTAATGGACCAAGCAGGAGAGCGCATGATTCGTATTCTGCCGTCTCTCAGTTGTACCTTCAACCTTTCATTGACTAACATCTATTCTGACATGTTGTCTCGCAATTTTGTATGCCCGTAAGAGTGTTAACAGAGTCCCCTGGACAGTTTTATACCACAACTACGGGGAAAGCGTGGGACGAAGTAGGCACAGCAAACAATCACCGATACGGGTATTTCTCCCCCGCCGGCACAACAATCGGGTTGACGATGGTCGATGTAGCAATTTCCGGTGAGATAGCAGCACCGTCGAGACGTCTGCTCCTCTCAGACGAGGTTGGAGAGAGGCGGATGGGGAAGAGGTCGGATCAGCCGATGTGCGAGGAACACGGGTGAGGATGTGGGGACGAAAAGCGAGAGATGGATCAGGGTATCACGGAACGGAGAAAGGACCGGGTCTGGAAGGACGGAAATGAAGGTGGCTCTCAAGGCTAGAGATAAGATCAAAAGACGATCGCGCGAGAGAGAGAGAGAGTGAGTGAGTGTGTGTGTGTGTGTGTGAGAGAGAGAGAGAGGGAGAGGGAGGGAGTGTGTGAGCAGCCAGCCGGTGTTAATGGCAGCAGTCGGAGGGAGCCGTAGGAAGGGTTGAGTTTGAGGGATGAAGTTCAAGAGCGAAACACAAGCAATAATACGGCGGGTGGAGAGCGAGCGCGAGGAGGGGGGAGCGTCACGTTTGTTACATAACACAAAGCTAATTGCTAACCGCCTCGCCTAGCCCGCAGTTGGTTAGTCTGGCTCGTGGGAGTTTGGCTGCGTCGCGTGTTTTGTGCTGGCTCTGGACTTTTTTTTTCCCCAGAACTCCGTGACCATTCCAGTCTCGCAAGTTGGGCCGGTGTTCGCCCGTGTTCGGAATGCGGTTCACCACACGCCCTCGAGGTCTTCCGCGCGTGTACTCCGTACGTGCCGTTGAAACAAAACGAGGACGGATTGCAAATAAAAAGGAGGGAACTGACTATCTGCCCCTTGACGGCCATGCTACCGTCCACTCGCTGGTGGTTTTCTATGTGGAGCTGCCCCGAGTGCGTCCTTACCCATGAGCTGGCCTCGAAACCCATGGTTCATCCTTGTTGCGGGTTAAATTGTAACTAACATGGCCTCTTGGGTTGCAGGCACTTTTGGCCAGCTTCGCACACGATATTTCTGCTTTCTCTTTCCCTTTCTATTTATTTTTATTTTTATTTTACTTTATTTTATTTTTTTTTTCATTCTTCCTCTATCTTATTACTCGTTGCGTGATCTTGGATTCAGCAGAGATGATGTGCTCCCTATCTATCATGCCTGCCGTTGCTCTTCTTCGCTAGAGAGCAATCTTGTCCGAAATTGGACAATTGCCAGCAACCTGTACGCGGGCCCCGGCTGTTCTCTTTTGGTCTGAAAACGGTGTACGAGTTTTTTTTTGTTTTTTTTTTTTTTTTTCGGGCTTATGGGTCGAGCATGGGCCCGGTAGCAAGGAGCTTTTCACCCCGAGAATCGAGTTCACGGCATGGTCCTCCGTACTAACCGTCTCCTTGGTAAATTGTGATTTTCCTCGATATTTGTACACATCAATAGGAGACACCCTTCGATTGAAGGTGGGTTACAAATACCCCCGGGATATTTACGAAAATGAAAACCCGAGTGCATACCATTCTGCTCCATAAGAGATGTACATAAACTCGGAGTATCACAGTTATGGCTAATCATGGACCCCCCGGCTTGACAATCAGGACGTATGGCACCGAACCCGACCGAGGTTCTGGGAGGAAAAGAACGGGGTTTTAACCTCGATCACTACAGAACCGGACGATCTGGACAACGTGTGATGAACCTCACTCCTTGAGCTGCTCATATATATCATGTGAAGTGCCTGTCCGCCCGAGTCAATGGCACACCAACGTTGGGTTCAGCATGCGGAGCCGGATAATATGTTTTCTTCGGCATGTGCTTATATGCACCCCGCATCCGATTGAAGTCCTCACGTCCTCTTCTTGAGTATGATGCTAGCTTCATGCTCACCAGCCAGGTTGGAGGATATTGTAAGGCAGCATGTCTTAGTACTGATCCGGGCCTAGCGCCAAAGTGGTATTCAGAAATTCTAGATCTTCCCCTTAACAATGGGGTAACTTGATTGACAGAGCGTGAAACGCCGGAAAATCTTGTGAGATTGGGAGTGGGAGCGGGCCGGCTAGGACGACAAGGGCCGGACCGGCGGGTTGAGAAATAGGAGGCAATTTTAACGTCTGTGCTCTTCCAGGGACTAGAAATTTTTTTTTAAAAAGAAAAAGAAAAAAAGGGGTTGGCGACTCGAAGTAACAGGGTGAATTCTCCCTCGTGTCATTCTGTCACTTTCTGATTGAAGAATTTGACTGTGTTCGTAAATTCTCTGAAACTACGCGGGGCGGAGAGTGGCAGTGAACCCATGATATTTTAAGGCTGAGGGCCTGCGAGCACCCCCGCCGCTTATGGAAAACGTTTTCAAGCCGAAAATCTTTAACGTCTTACGGAGTACGGTACGGAGCAATGCTTGTATCCAATTCGACGATGGGAATATGCAGACAAGTCTTGGTATTCCCAAAAGGACATGAGAACGCCTTACTGAGCACGTTGACCATTCTGTGGATGATGAATGAGGTAAACTCCGTACTTGCCCTGGCGCAGAACCGGTTGGCCGTGGCCAAGAATGAAAGATAGCAAACAGTAGGGATAGTAAGCAGCTGTGTCTTCCGTAGGGGTTGGAAATCGCCAAAGGCTTGTTTAATTACGAGTACTCCGTACATATGTAAAGATTGCGATCTGCATGTCCGGAGGACACGGAGAGGCTAGCAAGATTGTTGAATTGCTTTCTCGAGAACCTCCGGAGTCCTCCGTACAACCCCAGTGACATATGCTTTGATGTGGCCTTCGCGCACATGGGGTTCCAAGTATATATAAAGATGATGTACCACTTACCTATGGACGATGTAGTAGATATAGACTGTTCCCCCCAAACTACTAAACGAATAGATGTGCCCGCGGTCTGACCCAAGTCAAGTCAACAAAAACCACGAATAGAGCCTTAAGGACTGAGGAGCAAGAGTAGGTTAAAACAAGCGGGGACGGTAAACCGAAAAAAGCAAACTAAAAACCCCCATCAACGATGGAACGACCCCTTATTTTTCTCTAGTTATTCTCCATCCCGGAGGAAGAATTAGTTGTTAGTTACACTTCAGCGGTCTCGGATTCCACAGAGTAGGGGGGTATATTGCGCAACATGCTGGGACTTCAGAGGAGCAGAGCTCCTTACCTCTCTCTCTCTCTCTCTCTCTCTCTCTCTCTCTCTGTGGAGTATATAAATATACATCTCGAATCTGTTGACGCGCATTAAAGAACTGCCATTCTTATTCTAGTAATATTTTGTGTTCGGTGGTAGACGCTGTTTCTGATCGTCTGCCTGCAAAATTTGTCAGTGGCAAGGAAATAAGCAGTGAGGATCTTTGAGGCACCAACAAGCAACCTCCCAACACTCTCAACACATTCGGTTTCAATCTCAATTCAGCCATGTTCCCTGTCTCTGACGTAGGTGCTATCCGGATAAGTGATCGCAACATCAAAATCTATCCACATAACTCTTTCCGGGTCACCAGGCACAATTAGAATGTTCTTAGGATAAGGGTCATTATGCTCAACCAAAGCTGAACGAATCTGTTGGATACCATTGACTGCCTTGGCCATTCTCTCTTTGCTGTAAGTGCAGCAGTTAATTGGCAAGGGTTTCGCAGATATTCCATCGGAATTGCACATGGGAGGCCGGCATCTTGCCTTGAAGGTATCTAGGTCATGAGGGCCAAGGGCAGCTGGATTCAGAGACAATACATATCCATAGAACTGTGGCACATAGCCTGCACCACATATGCCATACTGCTTGAGGCTGCAGTAGGCCTGGATTTCGCAGCGAGCATGATTCAAGTCACGAACCCATCATCAGCATACCCAGGGTCTTTATTGTTGTGAAACTGGACATGGTCAGAAACTGATAGATTTGGGATGTAGCAATGGTCAAGGCACATACAACTTTCAGAACACGGGGCTTGTCATCATAGTTCACATAGAATATTGATGATGACTTTCATATTTTCAGCTATTTGATAAACTTGATCTTTGTGGGATCAATCTCAATCCTCAAACTGTCGTTGAACCCTTTCTCTTTCTCATAAATGTTACCCTCGGGGCCACGAGGCGAATCGGTGTGATCAGATATGATGGCGGTAAGAAACCGAAAACAAAGATAGCTAAACCTCCATGGTGGAAGAAGTGGGATGATGAAAGTGAAGTGCCGTGCCGCACCCGTTGCTATACCTCTCCCCCAAGGCCCGGCTACATGACCTCAAGGGGATTAAGTCATTCCTTCCAGCACGCCAAGGCCATGGACCCGTCTGATAAGTGGAAGGCATATAGCACAGTTTCTTCTATCCTTACAGAGTTATGGAGTACTACGCACTGTTTGGTCTCGCAATGATTGTCCAGCTTTTAGCTTGGTGCTCCAGCAGCCCCTCGCCACCGCTTCTCTTAAATTGCGTTTCTAGTAATGCAGCTAGCGTTCATCTGTGGTGCTGAATGGTCTAGAAGAGTGAGGAGATACAGCTCCTTGAAGAGGATTCTTTCAGCCACTACTCCGTACTCCGTAAGCTCACTGAGGCGGGTTATTAAAGCGGCCTGCCTCAAGCGCCACTCTGGGCCTAGTAAGATTGTAGCATTTTGGGGAATTCCAGATTCCCTCTTGATTATGAGGGGTCGGTATCGTATCCCATATATTGACGCACACACGAGGTTCTGACCGAGATACTATGCATACAGGTTGTCAACGACGAGTGCGAGAAGGATACCTCAAATAATCACATTCATGTCATTGATAATGGGAGCCCCGACGTTAATAGAATCTCCACAGACTCAGGGTAAGCGCTCTTTAATATTTGCAAAGGCCGGATCGATGGCTAACACGCAACTCGGCCTTGTCTGGCTGGTTCCAGGATGTAGAGCAAAACTTATGAACATGAACGACCTTCTCGTGTATGTGAATGTTAATATCCAGTCAAAGATACTGGAAAAAAGGTCTACCATCCTTGGATAAGATATCATCAAGGGTTGCATCTTGAATTGTACGGAGTAGCTTTGTTGGAAGTAATAGCAGTAACAGTCTCAGCAACTGAGCTTCTGTAGCTACCCAACAACACCAATCAGCAGATGCCAAATATATGGGATGTGATAGGCGTTGCTAGAAACTTGAATGGGGATTGGGGAGAGGACTATGTCCGTCGTCCTCTGGAATACGCAAGATATCGATATATTCGTAAAGGCCTGAAATCTAGTCATGGCGCCATATTCTAGAACCATCAATATGCTCCATTTCTCTCTTTTCGAGATTTGCTGGTGGGGTTCGAAGGAAGATTGCTTTGTCATATTTACGTACTTTTTGAATTAAGGCTCGACTAAATAAAAGGGGGGTAAATTGTTTTTGGTTGGGAAGGGGGGAGGCTCTGCACGAGGAATTATTCTGTATATAACCGGGCTTGACTGGGTCAAAGGTGCATCCTTCGAGGCCAAATCTCGACAGCAGTCAAAATACAGGCCCATACGGATTCCCCCAGCTCCTAGTAAGAGTGTCATCGACAAAAAGGGCCATGTGGAAGGTAGGAGTACGGAGTACTCCAGATAGGAATAGAAAGAATCGGGAGAACGGGAGACTGGCGTTAGGTCAGATGAAACCATCCAACGCCGTGGTCTACGGCTGTGCCAAAGCTCAAGGCTCAATGTAAAATTTAATCTAACTTAAGTGTGAAGGACGGTGGGCAGAAGACAACAAATGCGCGAGTTTCGCCACAGTTTAAGTACCCTGTACGATGGTACAGACATGCTAGTTTTAGCTGGGCACCTTGGGCATATATAGGATCCGTGGAAGACATGCGGCACAGAACAATCACTTGTTTGCTAGCTTGGTTCATTGCATTTTAACTCCGTACTTCATAAACATTATATAAATATTCAGAGCACAGAGTAAAAAGGTTTAGTTTGGAGGGCACTGTGTTGGACCTCTGGTGAATTTTTTTTTTTTTTTTTCCAACCAGATTGACAGGGATTCCCCCCCACCAACAAACAAAAACGGCCCGACCCAGCGCGGAAAGGATCCAGGGGTTGCGACCCCAATCTGACCCAGAAAATTAAATGCCTGCCGGTGAGCAAAAAAAAAATAAATAAATAAATAAATAAATAAATAATAAAATAAAAATAAAAATAAAATAAAAAGAACGAAACCAAATCAAAGTCGAATAAAGAATTTGATGGATAGCTAATTTACGGAGTAGATCTACGGGATTTCGCCGCCTTTCACACTTTGCTCAAGAGCTAGGGTAAAAGAGAGGGGCAACAGACACACGGGAAAAAAAAAAAAGATTGCAAATTATGTCCTTGGTCTTCAAAACGCGCGGTCCTGGGATGAACTGTTAAAGCGCGATCCTCTTTAGGGCCTTTCTTAACTTGAGACAGCCTTGGGGCCAATCTCTTTTTGGAACCATCGGTGAAGGCCAAGGGGGCGCAACCATCCTAGCCTCTCGAAACATGATTCCATCTTGGCCGAGAATCCGAGATAATGTTCGGAATAAATGCTCTCCAGAATTTTCCATGCATACAGAGTTCGTACTCCGTAGGAAGCAACGAAAGTGAACACAACACGCATCAGCTTCCCCTCACATGCTTGCGGTGCAATCCGCGGCGCTTGTGTCTAGCCTAATCTATCTCCGACCAACATTTCAACCTTCCTTGGTTTTACGGAGTGGCGGCCCAATCGATTAGACAGCGGCAAATGTGATATCAGAATACTGAACACTCGGATCATGTATCTAGTGTGTGAATCTTCATGCAAGGGACACGTATTTGTGAACGGAGTACTCCGTACGGAGAAGAGGGATGCACTGACAAGAAGGCCTAGTCGTACGCGCGCATGCATCGACTGCTCGAAGTTCATTAAAAGCAGCGGCCTCTCAGTTCCTGGTTTGAAGAGAAACCCAGTCATCGCTTGATTGACCTTTCCGGCAGGTAACGAGGCCAACCCAGCTTGATTTCTCCACGGCTGTCTCGTGGTCGACTTCTTGAGGCAGGTTTGTTGGTGAGAAGAGGTCCAGAGCATGAACATCCTGCCAATTCTGACGACCACCAATTACGCTCCAGAAGAAAGAATCGATTGAGTGAACGACGTGGCTCGGAAGTTTGTCAAGTTGGCTGTGGAAGCTGTCAGAGGTCCTGCAGACAGGCCCAGCTTCAGGCGGTGAGAGTGGGTAGTAAGGTATTTGCCATGGTGGAATTGTGGGTCTGGCAAGAGAGGAAACCTTGGCGACAGATGGACGAAGCAGCTTTTCATTTGCTCTTTGACAAAATCCTTCGAGCGACAGCCTGCGTTTCACTTGGACCAGGCAGTCTCTATTTATTGGCGAACGAATCGAGGATTCGAGATGAGTCCAATTCGATTCTGCATGATGTACTCCGTACTCCGTACTCTGTATGATTTTGGGGATAGCACGCGATCTCGAAAGTGGTTCATACATACATTTGTGCACCGTACGAAGTGCAGGTTCAAGTCCCGGTTCTAGGTCGTCGTAGCAGCGGGATCTTCAGCCTTCACTTTTAAGTTCCTTTTACTAGTGCGAGGGAAGCGGCTGTCGGACGGGAAACCGCAAACTTGGAATTCGCAAATCCGAAAAGCGCAGAGGGTTGCTCCATCGTACTTTTGGTCCTTGAAGAACGTTACGGATGTGGTTGTCCAGAGGATGTGATGCACCGCAGCCGATAGAGTGGTCGTGGTTCGGCCTATAGAGAACAACCTTCTTGCGATTATGACTCTGGTGGTCTTTCCACAGCATATACTTGGAAATAGTGAGGCGGCCGATCTTGCTCCCTGTACGCCAATAAAGGCTCCACGAGAGCTGCCACGGAAACCAGCGTGACCGCTCAAGCAAAGCCCATTGACGTGGGGCAATTAGGACCAAATATCCCCGCAATCAACGCACGCCGGTGGTGTGTCGGCTTTGGCGATGTTTCCATTGAGCATTGAGCGGAAGGGGACGAAAGGTGCTCTCTTCAAGCAGGTTCCTCTGCCGAAATACCACCAGTCAGACAGGGCTGCCAAGCGGCGAGCGCAAGGGCAGGGCAGCAGGGTCAACCCAGCAACACCAGATGGCACGCAGGGAAACAGCCAAAGGAAAAGCCAAGAGAATTATTATTTTTTTTCCCTTTCAGTTCCATTACATTTTTTGTACCGAATTAGCCAACGAGAAGCGCCGCTATGCTCGTTCGAAGCGGGAGAGACGTATGTCCCATTACTGAGCCTTGTCCCACTTGCCCGTGAGCCAGAAATTACCTTTCACACACACCCCTCCCCGGCAGACGGCCCCAGGGTTAAGGAGCACGCAGGTAACTCCCCCTCGCTCCACGACGTTTGGGAGAGTGGGCGTGGTGGGGGGAAGACACCATCCTGGGCTTCCTTGTAACGAATATTACGGGCCACCGAACGCTCCACCGGCTGGGCCTCTCCAGCACTTTTTTGGGTTCTCCGGTAACCCCGCAGCCAAGTTGGCGGTCTTTCTTTCACCTCTGGCTCGCGACAGAAAGCTCAAACCGAGGTCGTCGTGGCAGCATCTCCCGAAGTAATGGGCGTGAAAACCAGAAGGGGGGGAGTGAGGGGGGCAGAAAAATATATATTTCTCCCTCTCGATATTTCATGGAAGCAGGTCAAATGTCCGGGATCCGGTTGGTTGAATTTCTGAAAGAAGCAAGGCACAGCAGCCTGACCTTCTGCGGAAATGATGGGCATAATGTAAAGTTACATGATACGTGGGTTGAAATATAGCGATGGATGGTTTCCTATTGGGTATCACCGCGTGTGCTGCCGGCATGAAGGGTGTATACCGTGTACGGAGCAGTTACGGGGGGGAGTGAAATTCTCGCCATTGGAGGGGTTGGGTTGAAGGTTTCGGCGGGGCAACAATGAAGTGGCTCACCCTTTCCACGTCCTTGGGGGCTGCGGGAGAACGAGCTCAGCCAACCACTGCCGCCGCCCTAGAGGACACGCACTGAGACCCGGTGCCGGAACGGCCATTCCCATCGCATAGTCATCTTACCGAACTTACAGAACGAACGGGCTCGTGTGGCTGGATAGTGGCTTGCCCTTGCAGGTTGTCGCCCGGCCATTGGCTCAGCCAGCCCTGGCCCAAGGGAAAAAATCATTACGGGTGAGACGCGTCTTTTTTTTTTTTTTTTTTTTTGGATGAACCTCGCACGAATCTCACCAAGGAGCAAAAATACATCCAGGGTTGCTTGGCGCACTCTTTTGGCAGGGGACGATTCAGTTTGGGCGTAATCCCGGCATTCCGGCTACAGTTGAGTGTGGGCAGCAATTTGTATCCATGGTCTCCAAGAAGGATTGTCCTCGAACTTGCTTGGGGCAAAAACCAGCACCCAACTTACATCCTCCCTTCCACACGGGAGTAATCTGTTTATTACCTGCACATGACGGAGGAGGTAAAGGGACCGAGGGCACAACGACTGGATTCAAACCAGCGATTTCTGCATAATTACGGAGCCGAGTAGTCCAGCACACACCACGTCTTTTAGTCAAGGAAAATAATTGACGGCCGCTTTTTTCGTTTAGAGTACGGAAGTACGGAGTAGAGAGACAGGCTGCGACACATTTTCTAAAGCACGTGATCAGACGCCGGTACTGTTGTTGTGTACCGTACGGAAAGCTTCGTGCCGTATCGTATTTTTGCGCACCCGGCGCGATGGCTGGTCTCGTCGGCGGCTGGGGTTTCAACTTACTCCGTACGGAGTACAAACAGCCAGGTTTTGTCCAGGTGCGCAATCTTCTGGCGGTCTGCAGGGCTTGGTCCCCTTCCCTGTCTCCAAAAGTAAAATACAAATCAGTCTCCATAAGAACCGTATTGTCCGCGGCTGGCATGTTATGAGTGTCTCTGTATTCCGTACGGGCTTGTATACGAAGCTTAACACACCCTTATTACATTACATACAAGGGGGGGGTTTTCTCGAGGAAATACGGCGGGATGGCTCGTGCATTCTAGAAAGCGGTGCGTTGTCTTTAGCATTTCGCACAAATCAACCACTTTTCTGCGGTGTCGCTTGATCTGCCCCTCGCTCCCCTCTTTTGTCTCCCCTCCAGTACTGCCACTACTTCCACGCCTACATCACCTTCGTCTCTCCCACTTCCACATCTCCCCATTATTTTTTCCACTCTCCTCCCCCATTCTGTGCGTCCACGGCCGTCGACCCTCAACAACATTTTACTGTTGTATCAATCCTCACCGACAACACCCGTCCTTTTCTCCTTATTTCTTCTTTACTCATTTGGTATTTATATATGCTATTCTTTACTTCACATGAATCTCTGACTTCTTCACCCCGATCAGCCCGTGGCCGGTCCCCCTTTTGAATTTTGACTTCCCACTCATTTTCCCCCGCGCAAGGAATGAACAGTTTCGAATCCATACCTTCTTCAACATCGTGCTCCTCCCAGTCACAGCGTGCGAGCGCAGACCAGTCGATAAACCCTATAGAACCTCCTATAGCCAACTCCTTCGCGAGCTGATCTGCGTTCTCACCCGCTGCTGATATGGCTCCTTCCACCGCGACCTCGGCGAAGAAGCCCGCCACCGCACCCGAGCGGAAATACAAATGTCAGTTCTGTAACCGTGCCTTTAGTCGGAGCGAACATCGTAGTAGACATGAACGTTCCCGTAAGTTCATCTTCTCCTTCCCCTCCTCCCCACCATTCTCCCGTGTCGGAAAAGCCATCCCCTTGGAAGACGGAAGATTGTTGTGCTCCTTGATTTCACTGACTCCCGTCTCCTCCCTAGACACAAAAGAGCGCCCGTTCAAATGTCTAAAGTGTCGAAGCACTTTCGTCCGACGAGACCTGCTGCTCCGCCATGACCGCACAGTACATGCAAAGGATGGTGGCATACCTTTAGTGGCAGAGGGTCGTCGGCGTGGACAGAAAGCGGCCAATAATGCTTCTAATTCGAACTCCAATTCGAATTCCACTCCCGCAGCAGCACCAGCAGCAACGGCAGGGCCATCAAAACCATCAATCACGATAGATCCCGCAGCCTTGGAGCAGATTGAAGCGAGCAGCGATGGCATGGTTGATCTGGAGACGGCAGCGATGTTGATGACTGATTTCCAACACAAGGCAGCGGCCACGGTTTCCCAGGGTCTCGGGGGAGAGACTTCGGATCCTGCATACTCTCCTGATCATGGCGTGGTACTGGAACCGTCGGTGGGATACCTACCAGGAAACGCAACTTTACCACAGATGCCTTGGGATTCCTTTATGACACCCTCCGAAGTCAAGCCACACTCCATGGTTCAGGATTCAAAGCATCGGTTTTCGGGCTCCCACAGTCATCAAAGCCAACTCGCTTCCTCAAGCAATGCAGCCTCAGAACCCTTAGCCCCAGCTTTGCATTCTCTGGTCAGCTCGCTTCCGGTATCCGGTAATTCGACTCCAAACGCTCTTTCCCCTTATCCTTCGATGACTGGTCCCGTGTCTCCAGTAAATTATCGTCGGTCTCCAGGCCCAAGCCAGATCTTGACTCAACCAAAGCCACCTCAGATATCGAGCGACGCAGAGCGAAACATCATTATTGAACATGTCAGGGCCAGCGATGCGCTCGGGGCTCTACCTGAAACATTCCAACTGCCAACCACCACAGCCATGAATCGGTATCTGTCGACGTATTTCAACATGTACCATCACCATCTTCCTTTCTTACATCAAGGTTCTTTCTCTCCAAAGGATTCGTCGGCGCCGTTGCTCCTTGCTGTTCTATCCATAGGAGCCTTGTATACGTTCGAAAAGGAGCCCGCTTTCATGCTGCACATCGGATCCAAGGTGCTCGTTAACCAGTTCTTGCAACATAAGGAAAACTTCGATTCGAGGAAATGCCCCCTATGGGCCATGCAAAGTACCTTGTTGAACATGATCTTCGAAAGCTGGAGCGGTGACCCCAAGGGACTTGAATGGACATGCTCGATAAAGAGCTTGCTTGCCAATGTGAGTTGAATTTATGTCTTGTACGGTGCTTTACGAGCCAATAAGCTAACATTTCAATAGATGGTGGCGGGCAATCGATATCAGCTGAAGCTTCGTATGGATGCACGAGGAGGCGCTCTTCCAACCCACGATGAATGGGTAGAAGACGAAGGTTGTCGTCGTACTTACTATGCTGTTTACGTGTTTTTTGGCATGTTGACACTTACCTTCAATCACACACCAGCCATGAGTTTCGACGAATTCGATACATTGGAACTTCCTTCGTCGGAGTCGTTGTGGAATCTCGAAATATCGGATAATTATACATGGCGACGTGCGCTGTCAGCTTATCATCCGGTGTCCTCACGAGAAGCGCATGACAGCTTATTCCGTGGTGAAACGGTTAGATACAGCGCGTTTGCTACACGAATTTTGATAAATGCGCTCTTCTTGGAGGTGTGGTATCACAAACGCAGCATCGAGGCGCTCCAAGATGTGGTCATGGGATACAAGCTTCGGCTTGCTCTTGACACCTGGGAGAACTCGCTCGATATTTGCGAGCCAGAGACCATCGTCGTTCCGGTCAGTACTCCACAGAAGGGTCATCCACTGATTTTCAACTCGATGGCTGTTTATCGTAACACGCGGGCCCGCCTGGAAGTCGACCTGAAATCCATCCAGGAAGCCCTTCGATATCATTCTTCTTACGAAGTTGCCGCTGCCATGACCGTCGCTCGTGATAAGGTTAAGAGATCCCAGGAAATGAACAAGGTCATCCAGCAATGTTTTGAATGCATTGAAATAGCTGCGATTCAAGGCCTGAATTGGGTTGCCACAGCTTCGGCAACAAACTGGAGTGTGGAACACCCATTGTGCGGTATGGATTTGATGGTTACACTGAGTCTCTGGCTGTACCGCCTGGAACATGATGAAGAACCGGCAAGTGATGGTGAACTTGTGCTCTACAACAAGATTCGAAATCTGTTTAGCAACGATTCAGTGGAGACTTACGGATCTCAGCTCTGCTCGACCGTTGCGCGGGTGTGGGGTAACATACTGGATGGTGTAGTGGTGTGGGGGTGAGTCTTCTCTTTAATTACTGAAGCCTGGAATGGAAACTAACCAGTAATGAACAGTATCACCAAACTCATGGGAGAAGCATTTAAGCTTCACGCTCAGGCATTGGTTGGCTACGAAGACTCAACTATGACAGTTTCCGAACATCCATTGGAGCCGATGCCGACCAAAGGCCTCGCGAGCGTAGGAACCGCCTACTAATTCGCAGCGAACCGCCGATCGTGGCGTCGGAATTGATTTTCTTTTCACTGATTTATCCTCCCTCTCATCTTCAATATATACTGGCGGGGCTTTAAAGAGCGGCGTTTTATGGGCTTTCGGTGCTTTGGGCGTGAAATTCCTCTAGCATTTGAGCAGCATTAATATTTTTTTTTCTCCCTTTTCCTATTGCAAGCATTGTTACACGTCGTTTACGGTATTTTCGTCGCCTCCGTTGATGTCATTGAGTTTCTGACGCGTTCGGGATACCGGAATTTGTGGAAAGGTTTCTGGGAAAGACTGGCACGGGAAGGCGGCACGGTGCTTTTCTGTCGGGATGTTTTCCTCGTTTGCAACGCTTTCCTTTCCGCTGAGCATCTGGGATTTGATTTCTCGCTCTCCTTAGCTTCTGCTGCTTTGTTGGTTCATAAAATCTGTTTCTTTCTCCTTTTCGTCTTCTTCACCTTTTTCTTCTTAATATGTCTTGATTTGTTTTCTTACTGGTCCTTTGAAAGAGAGAGCACACAGGAGTCCGGTCTGGTTGCGTTGATTGTGTTGATGGGTTGTTAACAAGGGCAACACCCCTACACCAGCTGGTCCTGAGTGTTTCCTCGAATCCTGGCTGCTTTTTAAAGCTCCCCCCGGACTGCTTAATCTTTAGTGCTTCTTTTGCTTTTGAATTCCTTTGCATAATGCCTTCTTCCACTCTGCTCACACGGGCCGAGTCATTTGTCAAGATTGCGTTTTGTTGCTGCTCTGCATATTATTAGTTCTGCTTTTGTTTATCCTCTTCATTTTAGCGGCCTTATTATTCCGTCGATCTAATTCTGTTAATTTCGCCTTTATCGGGATATTTTGACATCGTCACTCCTTCTTTTCCTGACGTCTTTACCTGTGCTAGTTTGACTTCTGATCATCGAGTGTTTATTGTGTCGTTGTGATTTTTGCATTCTCTAGATCCTGTTCGGTCGCCCGTTAGCACTCGATACTTCTGATTTCGCAGCTTATATCCCCTTCTGTTCCAGGGCTCTTCTTCGCTTAATTCCGATGCTGTCTGCCGAGCCCTATTCTTAGTTTCGTGTCTATACATGCGTTTTTGAATCGAACTTGCCTCTTTTTATTTTTGTCTCTGTGAGTGTGTTTTTAACGCTTTTGTGTCTTTTTACGTGACTCTCCGCTGATCTGCTTAATCAATTTGATAGCGAACTCTTTTTTAATCTTCTTTTCGTCCGCTTCTTGCAGTGTACAATATCGCCCAGGTTTCTCCGACGTTATCGAGCATGCTATAGGGGTTTGGTTTCCATCCTTTAGTCCATTTCGCTGGTATGGAGTAATTTCGATGTAAAACTTGAGGAATGGGAAAGCGTATGCTCTCAGCGTAACCATGTGGAATTGGATCGAAATCACTGCTAGAAAGGCTATTTCACGACCTCTCCTATTCCCGTCGCTACATAGCCCGCAGCATCAACAGACGTAATGAAGTACTATGTATCATACGAAAGTGTCCGAGTCCCGGTCAACCCCGAAAAAGGCCTGCTCTGAGGTGAACTCAACAGTTCAAAACAAACCGACTAGCTACTTCCCCTGCGCCAAAAACAAACGATCTCCTATATCACCTAGACCAGGCACAATCATACCTCTCCCATCAACCTCCTGATCCACACCCCCGACCCACACCTCCACGCCGTCTCGCCATTCATTCGCCGCCCTGACCAGGCCATCGTGGCTCCCCAAGACGCTAAGAAGAATCACCTTCTTCACGCCCCATTCCCTCAAGGTCTGGATGGCGGCTGCTGCGGTCCCGCCGGTGGCGACGACGGGGTCTAGCAGGATGGCCAGATCAGCCGCTGATTCGCTAGTATCGGCGCCTGAAGTGGTGCGGTGGAACGGGAGGTTGTTGTAGTACTCTACCGGGTGGAGGGTAATGGGTTCGCGGAAGAGGCCGAGATGGTGGATGGGGACGGGGTGAGGGAGGAGGTCCTGGATGGCTGTGAAAATATTAGGTCAGTTAGAAAAAGAATTCCTTTTCTCCTTTTCTTTTTTCTTTTCTTTTTTTGAAGTAATAGACAGGTGCTAAGAGGAGGCTTCTTTAGTTTCTTTCTTGCCTTGAAGCATTCCCAGACCGGATCGTAGGATCGGGATGAGGGCGATTTTGCTCGGGTGGATTATTTCAGCGGCGTAATTATATCCGAGAGGAGTGGTTTCCTACATGTAGATTGTTATTTTGGTTGGTTACTGTTTCATGGAACCTTTCTCCCTTCCTCCTGGGTGTTATGGTCTGCTCACCGTGCCATCTGCTGTAGCTTCTAGACTGTTAGCAAGGGCTTCGCAGCCCAATATTGTTGAAATCTCCCTAACGAGGAAATTTGTCTCTCTAGCTGTGGTCTTGGTGGATCGAAGTTGGGAGAGCTTGGCTCTCAGGCATGGATGACGAGAAACCCGAATATTACTGGGAAGAGAGGCAGACATGGCGGGTTTGCAGAGGCGATATTATTGAGCTTTAGCTGCTCTATGGACAGGGAAGAGATGCAGGATGAATAAAAAAGACTAGTATTCTGCGCATTAACAGCTTATTTTGGTAGACAATAAAACAGAGGATTCAAGGGGATTAGTTAGTATCCGATAGCTTTGCCCGGAGGTCGTCGCTATGGAACGTGTTTGTTGACGGGCGGGCCAAACGCGGGGTTTACGGATTAAGCTTCGGTGGGCGGAGAAAGCTGCTAGTTATTTATCTTATCTGATCGAATCTTACCACTCTTGTACCGAACTTTTGGCTTGGCTGTTTGTTACGGGGACACTCCAACAACTCCACAGCACCATCGCGAGGATCGATACTTAAGACTGGACGTCTCGCTAGCAAAGGCGAGAGCCTCTTCTGCTGGCTCTGGCTAGAGACAGCCAGATCTAATGTTAATCATTGAGAGCACATGGAGACAGACACATCGGGGCAACGGCCATCGGACCCGCGGCCGAGAGATGAAGAAACACCCACACGGGAAGAAGAAGATATCGTACCGCCTACCGAGCTTGCCATCCCCGAGATTGAGCAAGAGCACCTCAGGGAAGAAGAAGAACGCGAACGACTGAATGAAGAAGCATTCAGGAGAGCTGAAGAGCAAGGAGCACGGCTCTCCGAGGTTGCTGTACCAGCTCCTGTCGAACGAAGACCGTCGCACCGGGAGCCGTGGGCCACATTAGAAAGTGCGGAATCGAGGGTTTCCGGGCCCCCGCCCAGCGTTATATCGTCTGCAGTCCCCCTATCGGAGTTCGCTACGAAGCTGTACACTGTTTCGTACCTGATTTTCTTTTCGATATTTGGTGCCTTGGCTAGAATTGGGCTGGAGGCGCTTACATACTATCCCGGAGCACCGGTGACAACTGGTGTGCTATGGGCAAACGTGGGCGGGTGCTTGCTGATGGGGTTCTTTGCTGAGGATAGGAATATTTTCCGCGAAGAATGGGGCCAGCAACAAAACACCGAGAAGCATGGAAATGGCTTTTCGTCTAAGGAGAACCAAGGAGGAACGAGTCCTGAAAACAATCTCAAGCTGCATAAAGCAGTCAAGAAGAGCATACCACTTTATGTTGGTTTGACGACTGGGTTCTGTGGCTCGTTCACTTCCTTTTCCTCGTTCATGGGCGACGTCTTCCTCGCATTGTCGAACGATCTCCCTAATCCGAATACGGGTTCGATTTTACCAAGAAACGGTGGATACGGCTTTATGGCAGTAGTTGCCATTATTTTATATACGATATCCCTTAGTCTATCATCGCTAGGTTTCGGCGCTCATCTCGCTGTTGCCCTGGATCGGTTTACTCCAACGTTGCCATTTATTGTTACGCGCAGAATCATTGATCGGTCCATGGTTGTCCTAGGATTTGGCTGTTGGCTTGGAGCCGTGTTTCTCGCAATCTGGCCTCCAGATCGACATAACGGCATCGATCAGAATTGGCGTGGTAGAGCCGTTTTCGCTACTGTGTTTGCACCGCTAGGTTGCCTCTTGCGCTACTATGTCTCATTATTCCTCAATGCACGGATCCCAGCTTTCCCTCTTGGTACCTTTACGGTCAACATGCTCGGAACGATGATTTTGGGGATGTGTTTCGATCTGAAGCACGCAGCCAGCGTCGTTGCAGTGCCCGCATCTACGACAGCTTTCAGTGTCGGCCGTCTTACAGGCTGCCAGGTCCTAAATGGGGTGCTTGATGGCTTTTGCGGATGTACTACCACTGTAAGCACCTGGATCGCAGAGTTATACAGCTTAGAGCTTCGACACGCTTATCGTTATGGCCTGCTGACAATTGGCTTGGCCCTGTCATTTTTGGTTGTTATTATGGGATCTATGAGGTGGACTGTAGGATTCGCAGTGCCCGTTTGCTGAAGTGGTATTGATATTGATATGCCCCTAGGTTTTGCGGTTGGAATCATCAAATATCTACCCTATATTTCCCTAAGGTATCAGATTGTCAGGAGGACTATTTTGTTGTCTCCAAGATAATAACAAAAAGCCATTAATGTGCAAATCCAGTGTCATATGCTATCTCATTTCAATTTCGTGTGCGTCTGATAAATAGTCATGGAATCATCAAAGAGAGTTCAGGGCCCAAGGATTGGTTTCAAATCGCCAAATCCTCCTCCAGCTCTCCCAATCCCACTCGGTTGGCAATCGTCTCATTCCAAGCAAGCCTTCTAGCCTCTCCACTGCTACCGTTGAGATTATAGCGTTCCTCTAGGATCCTATCCTTATTGTTGACATCCCGCATTGGCTGCTTTTCCGCAACTGCACGGGCACGACTACGGGCCGCGATGGCCTCGAGCCTGGCGGCTTCCTTGGTGGCATTTCGTTTTTGAGCGGCTGGAATCCGAACGATTAATACAACGAAAGTCCTTGCATTACGTAGTGCCCCGAGACAAACCTTGCCAGAAAATCCAGTATAGCCCCATAGTTATCACTGATAAGCCGATAAATCCAAACATGATACCCAATTCTCGGGCCAGTGGGGCGGCTGTATAGGCCGGGTAAACCGTGTTACCTATGCCATCGCTGGCAGTGAAGTCGGGATGGTCTATCATCTTTTGTTTCTTGTTTGCGCTGGTTGACCGATGACGGCTCCAGTGGGTGATATCTTCGCAGTATTTGCAAACCACAGTTCAGCCCAGCCATGTATATGTGTGTACTCTTAGATGTCGGGTGTATTTATGTGGAACAAGTTATTCTTCAAACGACCTCGATTAGAATTCAATTTATGTGTGCATTCTGCAGGGTACCAGGCTGTAAAGCCATGCAGTATAAAGGGATTAGCCCTAAACCTGGGAAGACAGTGGTTATAAGTAAGATGCTAACACATTATCTGGTTCGCTGCCCTATCGAGGTCTGTGCCACGCATCTTGGTCCGCTGCAAACGGACAAAGAAGCGAGTTAAAATCATCCTTTTGGTTTGAACTAAGGCTCAACCTCGATAAATGCGGATATTAGGAAATTCCAAACTTTGATGGGATACAAATGTCAGCCATCTTAATTTATTTTTATTGTTATTATTGTTTTTTTTTCTTTTTCTCTTTTCTCCCAGACGGTGATCGCTCAAGCATGGCGATTGCCAGAAGACCTCATATAAGTACCGGCTTTTAGTTGATCCGAGCCGCCTGGTCGACGTCCACTCCATCCGCTCGTCCCGCTTCAAGTTTCTGCATTTCGTTGCTTGACGGAGCTGCATGTCAGTATCAACCAACATGATAATGCACCGATTTGCTTTCCACACAGTCAATCCTTATAGCTATTTACCCTTAGTATCTAGGCGTGCTCCCCTGATGGAGTATGAGCTGTGAGCTACGGTGTAGACTTTCATGAGAGGAGGCCAAGCGTTCTTTCTTCCGATCCTGAATTTGTGATAATACCCTAGTTACGATAGATTATCCATTACCAGCCTGTATTGATATGTGCTCTTTGAGTTCCTATCAGTCAGTTTGGCCTATCGAAATAGGATGGACAGAGCAATACGCCGTTCTCCTCGTGGTGGATGGGCTATGTAGCTATGCTTCGATATATCTTCTGCGTACGGCTATATTCCCCCGCTTTTAAAGTCCAATATTCAGGATGGAGATACCCATATATCTGTATAGCCTGATCATCCGGCGAAAAATCGATATACCCCAAGAGCACTGTATAACTCTGTTACACCTGACACTTTGATCTTGGTATGGAACCTGCCATGAATTTGGTGCCGCTCTATGCCATGGAGCTCGTTGCTGGAGTGCACTTGTTGTCACATAGGTCTGTAACCAGGGCACTATGTCTGTCATAGATTCCATGAAGAACACAGCAAGCCCTCGCTTGTTTTAATGGCGTTCTATAGACACATGTGACCTCATACAAACATCGCGTGCGTGAGGACTTCACTTGCAACCTCAGAACTCTCTCACTTGTCTTTTCTCTCAGATGTGGATCTTCTCCATCCCTATTGATTTTAGCTGCTCGGCGTGAGGTTTCTTTCCCATTGTGAAGCTTTGATTTGCAGCTCCGCACTTAACAACCATCATGGCATTGCTATATGATGTCGTTGGAAGCTTAACTCGCGTCGCGCAACGGTCTCATGTTCCAGGTGCAAGAGGCTATGACACTATGATCATTCAGATTGTTTTGATAATCATTGCTCTCTTACTTGTTGCAAATCGATTTCATGTCCGCTTTTATGTAGGTCGGAGCCTAGCACCTGATGATTATGCTATTTTAGCATCTATGGTACTGCCTGAAGCTTCCCCCTGTCAGGAATATTTGTTTGATTACTGGCTAATGGTATACAGCTTTTCTCTCTAGCAATGAATGCAGTCAACATTACTGGTATGTTAAACTTTGTATACTTCTGATTCTTCCAGTTTTGGCAAGAAATACTGACTTTAAGCTCAGCAATACACTATGGATACGGGAAACATGCGAGTGAAGTGCCAAAACATGACATGCTTATTGCATTGAAGGTATGCTCTCACTGTATACACAAGGCAACAGGGATGGTTGACAAGATCCCTATCAGCTGTTCTACACCTTGCAAATCTTCTATAAATGCACCATTGGCTTGACTAAAATTTCAATTGTGCTTCTCTACCGCCGCATTTTTCAAACACGCAAATTTCGCTTCCAGCTTATTTGCAACTATGTTCTTGTCTTGGTCGCGTTATATGCAATTGCCAGCATTATCGTGACGATATTTGAATGCATGCCTATTGTTAAGGTCTGGGACAGGTCAACTAACGGAACATGCATCAATTTCACTGCATTCTGGTATGCAAATGCAGCTTGGAACATCACCACAGACCTTATCATCCTGATCTTGCCAATGCCTGTGGTTCACACACTTTATCTTCCTTATCGGTCGAAGTTTGGCTTGACGGCAATATTCACTTTAGGAATCTTGTGCGTTGCCCCAGCTCCCTTTGCAGTCGCGTCAATGCACCACTAACAAAAGCCAGTGTATGCATTACATCGATTCTGCGGATGACAACCCTTAAAGTCTCATCTGAGGCAGCGGATCAGAGCTACGGAACTCTGATCTCAACTATGTGGACGACCATCGAGGCCAACGCTGGCATTATCTGCGCTTGCCTCCCCATGCTTCGCATCCCTCTTACCCGGCTCGGGATGGCCTTACGTGCTTCATTTCGTAAGGAGGAACCTGCCCAGCCTCCGCAGGTTCAGTCAGGAAGTACATCTTTGGATGATGAAGATCCTCCTCCTCCTTCTCTTTCTCCTCCTTCTCCTTCAAAGCCAAGCAGATGGGTTAGGCTCATGCCTCAAGCTTGGCTCAAAGGTGATGTCACGGGGGATAAGTAAGTGGCTCAGAAGAATGAATGAATCTACTTGGTGTAAGGGAGTCTTTAGGGGTAGGAGCCCGGTGGCGTAAATGGGCAAACTCAGGAGGGGCTTAAAAGGGTTTGCGGAAGGTTTTTTTTTTTTTTTTTTTTTTTTTTTTGGGGGGGGGGGGGGTGGGTGCCTGTAGTTTATGAAGAATGTATCTAATAGGAGAGGTTGAAAATGCGATTGCATGACTTTTAAGCTTTAAATTAATCCCTACCTTCAAGCGGTTGTTGGTCTAGTATCTATCTCGTACTTTTCTGACCCGTAAAATAGTATGCATAAGCCCTCTTAAAGAGGGAGGGGAAAAAAGTCAAGGAAGGCTAAGAGTGCCGCGGATCCATAGATATTTCTCTACAGATGCCATAGTGGAATTCTACACGTATCACGTCTTTCCCGCCGTCTGCGGTCCAACCCCTTGGAACAATTCCCTCTTAATCTCAGCAGCCATGAGTCCGTTCAACTCCTCTCCGACAATTCTTTTCCCCGCCTTGGCAACCTTCTCGAGCTGCTGATCGTTGGTTACCAAGGTATTCTCCCGTTGGGCGTTACTTTCGACGGCCCTGGTGGCCTTTTTTATTTTCTCGCTCATGTCTGCCATCTGCTTCGTGATGTAGTCGCGATTCGTGAATAGGGGGCTCTGGCTTATCGTCGCCACCCAGTACTTATTCCAGAGGAGGGAGAGAATCTTCGTGTCAAGTGTAGATTTGAAATGCGAGACTTCGAGAGAGTAGTACTGCGACGCGTGCGCGCCAAAGTCCTCCACCTTGTGCAGCGGTATGCTCTGGTACCCGTCGTCGTCGTGCTCCGCCCTCGACGGCTGATAATCCTTTGGATATGTTCTGAAAGCTCCGATCTCCACCTTCCCCGCGGATATGGTGCGGTCGGGGTCGATCACGACGGCGACGAAAGGGTCGTTGTACGTCTGCTGGGTATCCTGCGTGGAGACGTCGATCCCCGAAAGCCAGCACCCGTAGCCCGGATGGCTGTGATACCAGCCGATCGCGTTCTCCATCCTGCCCGAGTCGCGACAGGCCTGCAGGTACGACACCATGTACTCATTGGCCTCGTCCTGGGCGTTTACTCTGGTCTCGGTGCCCTCGACAGGCAGGCGGAAGGCGTCGGTGACGATGAAGGTGTTTGCGGAGACGTAGCCCTGCATGAGGCCCATGACCTCGAGGCTGCCGCCAGAGCGGGCGTGCATGACCATTTTCAGAAGGGCGACGGCGGAGATGCGGATGGACTTGAAATAATGGGGGTCCCTGGACCAGGGCTTGGCGGACATGAGTGCCTGGGAGGCGGCGGGATCGTAGGTGTAGAGGGCATCGCGGTAGGGGTCGACCAGGTTGACACAGTTTTCTATCTCTGCAGAGAGGGTGAGTTAGCTTTGAGAGGGGGGTGTGTGTGTGTGTGTGTGTTTGTAAGCATGGGTTGAATCTCAACTTGGAGAGGGACCGATATATAGTTAGAGCATACCCCAGGATATCTGAGCGGCGTCCATCGTGAGCGTTCCAACAGCAGATTTTCCACGGTCGCGGCGGCGGAGAAGCGAAGAGAGAGAGGCGCGGCTCAGCCCGTCATTAGGTAACTTTCGCAAGCCGGGCTTTAGGTAATTAGGTGGCTGCAGCGTGGAGAAAAAAGTGGCTTGAACGGCGGAGGGAGAAAACGTCGGGTTGCGCCTGCCACTTGCTTGTTTGGAGCTTTCTGTTTGCTCTTGCCTGGGCGGGCAGTGATGACCTCAGCGGCCGTTTCCGGTTTAGCGCAATCTGTCATGTGGGGTGGGGCACGGCAGAACGAAGGCGGCGAGCATGCTTACTCAGCGGTTGCCGGGCCGACGGCACTCGGCGTCAACACAGCCCGTCATTGCTGTTTTCTCGCCAAAAACCATCCATTTAACAACCGCCGCAGCTGATCCCGCGCCTCCCCGTTGGCTGCCCTCCTTTCTGCTCGCAACCTCATCCTGTGGGAACGGTGTCGCCTGCTCTCCTGCACGCATCTTTTTTTTCTCCCCCCCCCGGAGCTGCTGCGGCTTGAATATGCGAGTTGGTTTCTTATCAGATGGACTTGGACTTGTTCAATTGACCGACTCTTGCTCCACTCGCTGTCGTTGGCCCCGGAGCCCCGTTCTGAAACTTTTCCAGCTCACTCTTTCGCGACGCGACGATACTTTCTTTTTTTCCCTTACCTTTTGACCTTTTTTTTTTTTTTTTTCTTTTATCCTCTCTTTGCGGTTTGGAATGCCTTCCAGCGTCTAGTAACCGCGTGGCAAAGTACTACAACCTGTCGTTTGCTAAACAACAACAATTGGTCTCCTGATAATTGTGCTGCTTCCGGTTCGCTATGACCGTGGACACCAGCTACCTGACCACTCAGGTCAATAACATCGTCGAACAGCTCCACGGTCTATTCGATGAGATTGGCGTCCCAAACCATGAACGGGACTCAAGGGAGTCTGAGGTACGGCAGAGCTCCGGAGGTAACGTCGCATGTCACTGACCAGGGTTTTAGCTCTTTGCAGCGCTGTCAGAAACGCTCAATGGCCACTTGCAAGGCGTTCATAAGTAAGAGAAGATACATATGTATGCCATTGCGTTTCGTCTATTGCTAACATCAGACAGCGAGAAGAACGATATGATTGAGGAGGCCAATCGCCTTATCACGACGATCAAACAGATGCAAGCGTCGCTTGATGACGGCGCATATGGTTCGCGACGCGCATCGGACGACCCAGACCTCCGCGTCACGCTTCCGCTTAACCATTGCCTCGCTCTTCTCCGGGAGAAGCAACATGCCGTCGGTAAAAGGCATCAGGAACGCTTCGAGCAGGTGAAGAGTACGGCACATTACATCCACCCCGAAGGGGTTCTTTCTCTTGCTGCTGATTCAAGGAACTAACACGAGTATTAGAACTTGTTGAGGCACTTGAGTCGTATTCCTCCCATCTTGAGTCAACTTTCGTCAAGATTCCGCTCCCCCCAACAGCCCCTGGCACAATCGTCCCTCCATCCTTCGATTTGTCTGCCGCTTATGTGAATGCGCTGGACAATGAGTTTACTCGAGTCTACGAAGAATACAACCGTCGCCTCGTCACCGTCAGTACGGTTTGCGAAGAGATAATAAAGCTGTGGGCAGAACTCGGTACACCCCAAGCCCAGACCGATCCTGCGATCGTGGAACACCATAGAGATTCTCCCGAGCAGCTTGGTCTGCACGAGTCAGACCTTGCCTCTCTGCGAACCAAGCGCGACAAACTCCTGAACGAGAAAAAAGCGAGAGAAGGCAAGATTAAAGAACTGAGAACAGCGGTCGAAGCCCTGTGGGGCCGATTGGGTGTTGAGGAATCCGACCGAAAGGGCTTCCTCGCCGCCAATCGTGGCTGCGGGCTACGGACTATTAACGAATTCGAGGAGGAACTTGCTAGGCTCAACGAGCTTAAACGACAGAATCTTCACTTGTTTGTGGAAGACGCTCGCTGTCGCCTGCAGGAACTATGGGACAGCCTTTATTACTCAGAAGAAGAGATGCTTGACTTCACTCCGGCATTCTCGGACGTCTATAGCGACGCTTTACTCTCTGCCCACGAAGCTGAGATCGCTCGCTTAGAAGCACTCAAGGAGCAACGGATGCCTGTCCTCCAGTTGATTGATAAACATCGCTCTCTTGTTGAAGATCGTGATGCCCTTGCCGCTTCCAGCCAGGATGCCTCTCGATTAATGGGTCGTGGGACTGGTCAAAGACGCGACCCAACTCGGCTCTTGAGAGAGGAAAAGATGCGAAAGAGGATATCAAAGGAATTGCCCAAAGTTGAAGTAGAGTTGCGGAAGATATTGGAAACTTGGGAGGATGAATATGGAAGACCATTTTTGGTCCATGGTGAAAGGTATCTGGATGAGCTAGGCCCTCCGCCGCAGAAAATTCCTCCCCGGTCCAAGACCCCTTGCCCCTCGGTCTCACGTCCCGTGTCCAGGGCTGCGCCATCGCGCGCCGGTGGCACAATTCGCGGCCAACAGAATCCCTCGTCTGCTGCTAAAACGCCAACTGGAAATGGAACCTTAAAGCGCAATGCTGTAGGAACTGGGTCCCTGAGGAGTGGTACCAATCCTCGACCAAAGTCACCAACCAAGATCCCCGCCCGGGTTCCTCTCGCGAACATGCCCGATGGAAGTAATTCCCCGGACCGCCAACCAGCTCAGTCATATTCAACCAGCACGTTCCGTGGCAAAATGGGACCTCCCCGTGCACCTCCACCGAAGATGAGGGAGCTTTTCTCTAGAGAGGAGACGCCGCAGGCTACGTACCAAACCGGACTGAGCCGTAGTCGTAGCGTCATGTCTTCAACATCCAGTGGAAAGGTGCGTCCAGTGAGTCCGGAAGACGTCTATGATGATCGTCAACGGTCCTTCATGAGTTCGTCCATGTCCCATTATAGACCCATTTCGGACCAGTCCTTCACGTCTTCGTACATATCTAGCCGTGAGGATGTGAGCTTTTGCAACCAACAGCCAAAGTCCTATGCCAATCAATTTCAACAACAATACCAAGCCCAGAGCCCTCCCCCGAGACAAATATCGAACTCGTCCACAATTAACACGCTGGCGTCTGGTTCTGAGAACTGGGAGACGTACGACGACGCCTCAGAGCCGGAAGTTGATGCCACTGAGGCATATTATGCTAAAGTGAGAGCCGCCCAAGGCAAACGAGCTGGCGCTGAAGCCCAGCTCGGCTACCCAAACAAACCAAAGAGCATCCGGGGCGTGGGGTCGGATGATGCTTGTGTTCAAAGTAGCTTCCACTCCAAGCGACTTGGTGGCAGTGATGACTGGACGGATGATTTAGAAACGTATTGAAACGGATTTGAGCATCCCACGAATTTTACCTTCCCTTTTTGTCTCTCCTCTGAACGACTGTGAATACTAGACCCTTTCTGTTTCAGGGGCCCGTCCTCAATATCTCACTCGTTTTCCATTCCGGATACACGACATATGATAAAACGTGGCATACGAACTGTTCGTGTTAATTTCTAGCAAGGCGTTTTTGAAATTGGATGTTGCATTGAATTTGAGCACTTTGGCGCGATTGTGGCGGGAGATACTGGAGGAAAAGAAGATTGTTGTTTGATATTTCTTTTACCATCACCCTCGCCCACCCTGATGCTCGGATCTGTTTAATTATGGTTTATTCCCAATCAGTTTTCCGATTTTCTTTTCTTTTCTTTTTTTTTTTCCCCCTTTTGGTCGTCTTTCTTTCTTACGGGTTGAAACAGGGCGGGAATTTTTTGTTTGTCTTTTCCTTGTTTATTTTATTTTTTTTTTTTCCCACACTTGGTTTTTATTGTATCATTTTTGCCTTGACGGCCTCTGTCCCTTTTTTAATTTGAGTGTATGTAAGCTGTGTTGTTGAAAAAAAAAAAAAAATATAAAAAAAAAAAATATGGATTTTGTTCGAATTGATGCGCTCTCAATTTTTTCGCAATGACTAGGTCTTGATAAGTCATAGCTAGTCCGTAGGCTATTTTAAGGATTTCTCGCACGGTAGTGGGGGTGATGGCCCTACCCAGACAGTCTCTAGCTGGAGGAAGACGTACTTATGATTACATCTCGGATAATCAGCCATGGTGGGCATAATCGGCTTCAAGGAGCATAAACCTGGCCGGGTATCACGTCACTTAGTCCACTGGTGACCGTGTGGTGGGATACGTAGCGAAGGAGAGTTATACTCTGTACTCCCGAGCGGTGCGGTGAGTTTTGAAGCGCAATCAGCCGTCTGCAATTGGCAGACTCCATGTATAATAACAGAGGGAGGTTCTGGGAATAACAATATGGCAGTTTTTGGGATATAAAGAGTTTTGAAAGAATGGGTGGTTATACCGGATCTGTCTCCATCTGAGGACAAGGAAGAAGCTTAATTAAGCCTGGTCGTGATTGAAAGCCTGGGGACCTAGGAATTAGAGGTCGGTTCCAGGTGCAATACCGGGCAGCCCAAGGGGTTCGTGTGGGAGTGCTGATCGCGGCATTTTCCCGGCAAAGTGTGAGTATGGAGCTGGAATGGCGAGTTGGGATGTGCAACGCATGTATGTTTGACCTGCTAAATATGTAACTAGGCTCGAAAAACCGCTTTTGACTATCTTCAATATCAAAGTTCCGATGTACAGTACATACAAGGAGTTGGAGTCAACCTCCCTTGAAGTCGCATCCATGCTTGGAACTCTTTTCGTGAGCTTCAGCTGCGCTTGCCTGCCCATCATGGCTTTGATATCTCGCATTCGGCATAGCCAAACGAAATCGAACTAGCGGGGCAGTTATGGAAACGGAATTGGGATTGGCGCTCTTTCAGCTGTTCGAGTGGAAGTGTATGCAGCCGCACAGATGCATATAACTTGAAAATCTGGCTCATTATACGAGAGATCTTGTTACGCATAGGTCTCCGTAGAGTTCAAGATGGGCGTGGCCAAAAAAAGACGGAGTCAATTTCGGACTTGCTGCTCGACAGCATGGCCTAGGTCAATTAAGTCGACAGTCGTAGGAAGATCCCGTAGCTGGGCCCGTAGATGGGGCATTCGCATCGCTCTCTCAAGCCTTTCATATTTGTAGGGTGCTTTGACAACAGATTATCAGCAAAAAAGGAAGGGAGAAAAAAGAAATCCGCATCCGTGTTGAATTGAATGCGGTGCTTGATAGCTCTCATCGCTGCAAAGTGATTCACATGCTAGCGCAGAGTTCCTGTCCTCGTGGTACAGGCGCATTTTGGTTCGTCTGGATGGAAGGTTCAAATGAAAACCTGTCCTTTGAATCGAACGAAAGGGAATAACCAGTGGCTACCCCCGATGCAATTTTTAGTTCTGTGGGCGACAGGAGGCGGGCTGAGCTCGATGCCATCAGGGATCCTCTGATAGGCCTGGATATATTCGTGTAAATACATTTGACTTTTCGCCATGTGCTCACAGCCTCATTGGTGCTTTGAGGGGTACCGAATGAGATCGCACGGATCGGACAGCTCGTTGGCGACGTGATGGAAGACGACAGGGCGAACGTTGGCTCGGACTTGAGTTGGCATGTCTGCCCTGAACGGTCGCGTGGACACGAAGCCGTTGAAGGCTGAGGCTGAAACGCCCCCAGCCGGATCCGAAAGAAGAGATTCCGGCGGCTGGGCGGTTTGGCTTTGCATGGCCGGGAGAATTGTTTGTTTAGTCCCATGCTTGTGATCTGGGTATTGACAGTTGCCAGCCAACCAGCCTCTTTATTCGGATATTTATTTAAACTCTTTCAAACACCTTCATTGTCATCTGGGAGCTCAACGTAAGAAGTTCTCTTGTGGATATTTATTTCTTTTCCCCGGCAGCCGCCGCCCAACCCCCTGAGTGGTTTGGTTCCAGCAAACAAAGCGCCCATGACAACAATTACCACGACGACGACGAAGACAACACAAGCCGAAGATCGCAAATCGATCCCTTCCCGTTTCGCAAAAGCATTTTTCATGTCCGTCGCCGATCCGGTCTTCTCGACCGCTCCACCGTCCTGTCCACGATGCGGGTTCGATGGAGCCCCTTTGCTCCAGGACGATGCGAAGGCAGCGCAGCAGAGGATAACAGAGCTGGAGACTCAGATAAAGTTTCTCAACCAACGTGCAGCAGCAACAGGTACGCTTGTATCATTTCCTTTGCCTACAAGGGTTGATCCAACCTTGCAATGTCTAAAAATATTGGATATCATTATCTACTCCTTGAAGAAAGTTGAACCGGATCTAAGAAGCGTGGTGCTAATCTTTTCCTCTTCGTTCAACAGCGGAGAAACTAGCAGACTACGAAGATGAAATCCGCATTCTCCGCTCCCAATCCCAATCCACATCCACATCGGCATCGGCATCGGCATCAGCATCTGTCCCCCCTCGCACACCCACCTTCACCCCACCCTCACAGCTGGCCTTCTCGACCTCTCCATCCCCACCACAACCGCGGCTGCAGCAGCCGCAACACACCCGTTTCGCGACCCTCACGTCCTTCCTGCCCTACGGCAAACGTAATAATTCCAGCGCGAACGGTGCTCCACTCAGCCAGACTACCTCTTCGCCCGAAAGCACTATAACATCACCTCCCCGAACGGCCGATTCCACTCTCACCGCATCCCTCCAAGACGCCCTGCAGCGCGAAACGGAACTCAGAAAAGCGGCCGAGTCGCGTCTCACGCAAGCCAATTCTGAACTGGAGGATCTCACAACGCAGCTGTTCAGCCAGGCGAACGAGATGGTTGCGCAGGAGCGGAAGGCACGGGCGAAATTGGAGGAGCGGGTAGAGGTGCTGGAGCGGAGAGATGGAGAGAAGAGGAGGAGACTAGATCGACTGGAAAAGGCGGTCGCGAGAGTAGAGAGGGTAAGAGGAATGGTTGGTGGACGGTAATTGTGGGTGGCATGGGGGTGTTTGGCGTTGCTTGTCGTCTTTTGGGTTGATACCTCTTTGTGTTTATGTTAACATGAGCAGACGAGTAATGTTTTGAATGAATGACGTTATGAATTCATCCTTCATATCAAAGGTATTATTATCTCCGAGAGATTCTGAGCTTCTCCTTGCGTGAACTTGCCCTGCCTGATGTTTTCAGGTCCAATGCGAGCCAAGGGTTGATGACAGAGCACGCAATGTAGGGGATAGTTGGTGTTTATTGTCTATGATGTCCTGGTCTTATGATGATAACATTCACTGTGCGTAGCCGCTGTGGTGACGAGCGGCGCAAGCTTCGACAGGGGCGGACAAAGCGGGCGGAACAAGGACCTTTAGGAGCGGGGCGGGATGCCAAGCGCAGGGTATGATGACTAAGTAACCCGCCCGAAACAGGCAATCAGGGCTTCTGCAGCACCAAACCCTAAGGTTTCCCAGTTCGCTTAGCGACCCACTAGCGCCGCTCAGCACCACTCCAAGCTGGTTGCGCAGGAGGAATTCGCAGTTAAAGCCCGACCTCGATAAACATCTCCCAGCCGACAACCTCCACGACCAGCTTCGGGACCCCATAACACCGCCAAGGTATGCTCTTGCTGCTCGATTTTGTCCCTGAGTGGTATCTGTGACGCTGACCGTGCTTTTCCACTGCAGATGGTCGCCGCAAAGAAGCATGTTGCTATCGTGAAGAAGCGTACGTTGGCCCTCCTTCTCCCTTGAAAACTATGAACATCCAGTCCGCGATTTCGCTACGGCACGATTTGCTATGCTATTATCTATCAAAAAATTTGGAAGTTGGGACGATGTCATACGTGGAAGATGGCTTTTGGCTGGGGAAATGAGCGGATATTTTGATTGAGGAACATGAGGCTGATATCGGATTTTTTTTTTTCTTGCGAGTACAGACCCGAAGCGCTTCAACCGACACCAGTCGGACATGTTCAAATGTGTCCCGACTTCATGGCGTAAACCAAAGGGTATCGACAACCGCGTTCGCAGACGGTTCAAGGGCCAGGCTGCTATGCCCAAGGTATGTGCGAATTTCTGCGTTGCGCGAAAGGATCTTGGGCGATTTCCCTACAATTGAAGCGCACGAGGTATTCTGTTCGTCGAGTGTCTTTAGATTCCCCGGGGGGGGGGGGGGGGGAGAGGGGGAATTCGGGGGGGGAGAATTCGCCTGAGCATCAATGAGCCGATCGAGTGTTATCTCCGAAGTATCCATCGCTAATAAGCAATTTCTTACACCAATAGATCGGTTATGGCAGCAACAAGAAGACAAGACACATGATCCCCTCTGGCCACAAGGTCTTCCTTGTCAAGAACCCCAAGGATGTCGAGCTTCTCCTCATGCACAACCGCACCTATGCCGCTGAGTACGTCAATTATTCCGCCCCCTGCGACGCGGCTGAGTTCATTCCTAACTCAATTCTCTCTCTGTAGGATCGCCCACGCTGTTTCTTCTTCCAAGCGCGTCGACATCATCGCCAAGGCCAAACAATTAGGCGTCAAGATCACCAATCCCAAGGGCAGAGTCACCACGGAATCATAAGCGCAGTCCGTCGTGTTTCTTTTTTGCTGGGGTCGGTGCGTGGTTGGGTGTGTGTTTTTTATGGCTCTTTTTCCTCACCCTTTTCCTCCATGTTCTTCATTACTGGGACAAGAATAAAGCGGCCGGCATATGATACGAAGGAGAGATAGATATACTTCTACTTTCTGCACCTCCTTTTTTTTCAAATTAACGAGTGGGAAAATATAATGGAAATATTTTGCTCGTTATGACTTCATCTACGGCCTGTTTAGGACATGGTGATTAGTCCATGCTGGAGCCGAATGGAAGAAGGAAAGGAAGCCATTTTGCCTCTTGCCATGGTGTAGGGAATACTGGCGTATGAGACGATTCAACTGAGATACAGGTGATTAAGATGAATGCCATTTCAACACAAACCTTTGATGTCATCTGATCCCGTTTAAAAGCTCATTGCGATACAGGATTGACTAGTAGTTACTCATGGCGAGAGCCTGTATCTGCGTCAATTTCAGTTCGCATCACTAAACCTTTTGTCTATTCCGGGATCTAATTGGTATTGAAAATAACCCAAGTCATAGAACTCGCTTCACCTTTAATAGACCATGCACCAAAAGCCATAAACAGGAAATCAAACGTAAACTCAATCGTAGCAATCAACCCCCCGCTCCTGCAGCAATATTTCCACTCTCGGATTTATCCCTGCTCATCATCTCCGAGATGCTCAAAGTTCCTATTCCCTCCACGAGCGCAGCATCACCATCAGCCCGGCCACCACCAATAATGATATCTTCTCCTTCCTCCGTCCATTCAGGAACGCTGGTGGGCCCATCCACGCCCTCTGGGGGCATAGCCCAATTGGGCATTTTACTTCTGTATTTCCAATCCCCAGCAAGGTCCGCATAAGACACTGCGTGAAGGAAGATTCCAAGCTCATGCACACCAGGATCAGTGTACAAATCAGTTCCGCAGGTTTCGCATTTCTTGCCGCTCATCTTCTCTCCTTTACGTCTTAGGTAATCGTTAACCATTTGGTCATGCTCGCGGGCAAGCAGGTCATTGATGACGTTGGGATCGCCGCCTTTGGTCATGTGTTCTGGAGGCGGGTTTTGGAATGTCTCGTACTTAAATCCAAAGTCGCCAACAGTATCAGCGGTTTCTGTCTTCCCCATCCTAGATAGGCGGGCCATTATCTCCTGGTCGTGTTCTCCCGTGTTGTCGGCCTTTCCGAGGTTACGGCCAAACACGCGTCGGTTGGAGTAAATGGGATCGTTGGTGATAGGATGCCCGAGGAATTGTAGGTGAACACGTAGTTGATGGGTTCGTCCTGTGAGAGGCAAGCAGTGGACGATACTGTAACCTTCGTCTTCAGGTGGTGATATCGTGGCTTTGCCATTATTGCCAAAGTCCAATGGCACATCGTCCGCCAGTGTTGCGGGTGGAGTAGCAGGGTCATCTTCAGAGGAAGAGGCCTTCTTCACTGCCGTTGCTGGATAGTATGCCAGTCTCCGAAATTTGCTTTTTGCTTCTTTGCCTGAGGCTCGCACTCGATTCAGACCTAGCTGATGGCTGATCTTGAGCATTGGCTGGTCGCAAAGGATGATTCCATCCGGAAATTTCCCCTTTACACGGGCGATATATTCTTTCTGCATTGTTCGTGCCCGGAGGCCATGGCTAATTCTCTCAGCGGCTTTGGGATCCTTGCCGATAAACATCACACCCGAAGTCAGTCTGTCAAGGCGGTTGCATGGTAGAGGATTGAAACCGTGGCCTCTTTCCGCGCGCATGATTTCAATAATGGAGTTGTAATTATATCGTCCGGCGGGATGAACGGGAACACCGGCGGGCTTGTCGATAACAATCATCTCGTCGTCTTCGTGGATAACCCCGATGGGGAGACTGGTAACTGGTGGCTCGTGGCGATGAAGGGTGTGCGAGACTACATCGCCATTTTTCACCTTTGAATCAACACCGCCTGGTTTTCCGTTGATTGTCACATGGCCAGATTCAATCGCTGCTCTCTATATTTCTGTCAGCTAACGGCTATGCCCAAATTTCAGAACAGCAAATCAGCGCTTGCTCACATAGTACTCCGCCGGCCTGTCTCTGAATTCCGTAGTAAATATATCCAATAAGCCCCGCCCTCTCCATCTCTCTTTACAGTAGGTATTGTATGTATAATGATAGGGCGCTACTCGGCGGAAGCCTTTCTCGAAGTAATAGGGCCTCGGCCACGGATCGCACGGAGTTACGACAACGTCCGGAGGAGGTTCAGCAACTTCAGGCTTTGCGATAGGCTTCGACGATTCCTCCATGACTGCTAAAGCCAAAGTTGGAGAAGGATGGCGACCTCGCTTGGTCAAATAAGCGAGAATGCGGGGAGATGGCGCCAGTTGTAAGGAGTTAAACAACGGCTGAAACGTGGAAAAGGGAAAAAAAAAGGAATTTCCCGAAAAAATTTGGATATATAAACGAGCAAACAGATTGCAGACGCTGTGGAAAAGAAACCGAACGCCCACTGAAAGCGCAGGAAGACCGCAGACACCGCAACTCGCCCTCTCTCGCCGTCGTTCAGCTTTCGAAAATTCAAAACGCGCAAAAAACGCGGGGACACTTATCACGTGACCTTGATCTTATCTGATGATCACTAGCACTCTAATTGGTCGCGTATCAACCTCGGCCCGCATCGCGCTCCAAACAGCAGCGTCAATGAAGCGCTTTGGACGGAAGAAAGAACAGCAAACATCTTCAAAGCCGATTCCCGCGTCTGGGGGGCGTGGAATCTGTGAATCTAGGTTATCGGGGTCTCTAGAGCCCAACTATCCGGAAAAATGGCTCTCTCGGAACTAGAACAGAAGAAACGAAGAACGAGAAATGATTATACATATCAGCTGGAGTACCGAACGCGCTGGTAAGTTGATTATCAGTCCGTTCCCCCCTGATTTACCTGGATAGCGCTGATGGCGGCATGTCTATACATAGGTCGGATAATGATATGTACGGTCATATGAACAACAGTATATATGCTTTCCTCTTCGACTCCATCATCAACACGTATTTAATAGAAAATTGTGGCCTGAATCCCTTCTCTTCGCGGTCTTCTTCAGAGCAGCCACCAGATGAACAGTTAGCCAGACAGGGGAAACTCCAACGTTCACCTCAGATTGGTCTTGTCGTTTCGTCTTTTTGCGACTTCTTTGCCTCCGTGTCATTCCCGGACGTGCTGGAACTAGGTTTGCGAGTGACCAAGCTGGGGAAGTCCAGCGTGACGTATGAGGTCGGTGTGTTTCGGAAAGGAGAGGAGCCAGTCAAGGTGGTTGGTGGGTTCACACACGTTTTTGTCGATAAGGGTACTATGAAGCCTACGAGTGATGGAATGGTCCCAGCTATTCGAAAGGGCTTGGAGAGACTGGCTCTGAAGAACAACCCGGGGTCAAAACTCTGATAAGGCCAACGCATATCCACATTATATGGCTCAAAGGGGGCTGTTATTTGCAACTTTTAAAGGGATTATGGTACTCAATCGACCAATATACGCCCTCCTTCTATCTGGATAACCGGTTTCTCGCTGGTGTCGCCAAATCGCAGCAGACCTCGCGGTGCCAAACCGATTGGCAGTCGACCAGGGATCGACCTGGTATGAGCTCCTATAGGATTTCAAGGCCCGCCGCCCTCACCATCATCACAATGAAGTGCGGTATTATTCCGCCCTACAACGTTGTCCTTTCTATTAAGACGTTGAGAGCACTCTACTGGTTCAAGCTCCAATGGGGGAGCGAGGTAGGGCGCAGGAAACAAGTTGGTCCTTACGTCTACCTTGCTTCTCCAGATCCGCCTTGCCTAATACTAGAGGATTCAAATGATTGAGGATTGGGCTCAGCTTCGCAAAATTATTTCATTGCTACTTTGATTTGAGACGGTCAAAAATGGCCTCTAATTTTTTTTCTTCCGATCAAGATGTAGATGGGAACTGGGGTGATATCACGCCAAAATCCCAATACAATCAGATTTTAAATCCCCTTCCTAACGCCTAAGCATGCTAAGTTATCCTTATTCCTTTATCGGAGTAATCGCATTTCATGACCATAACCATAATGGGAATGAAAATGAACTGGCAAAAAGATACGAGATCGGACTCTCGTAGTGGTATTTCCCGGTTTTCGAACTTTATTTTTCCGAATTTTTACTGTGCTGCACATTGAGGTCCACCTTCTTCTTCGTCTTCGTCTTCCCAGGCCGATCCACCTTGGGCATCTTTCGCCCCGAAGTCGTCCAAGTTCGCCTTTGGATCGTAGTCAACTTCATCAACGGGCTCCGCTTCAATTGGCGGCTCTGGACCTGGGAGAATATCCCGTAGCTTGTTAAGAAGGGTCTGATCCGACGCCCATCCGTCTTCCGGGAACTTAATCTCCACAGTCAAATAAAGGTCGCCGCGGGCTTCGCTTCGTTTATATGGCATGCCCTCGCCTGCGATCTTGAGAACCTGTCCTGGTCGCAAAACATCGCCAGGCTTCTTTGGGTGGGTCAGCTCTATGCCTCTTCCGTCCAGATGCTTTAATACGACTCTTGAAAACCCGCAGAGGGCTTCGGCTAGTGTGATATGAAGAACGGCGTGAAGGTCACCACCGGCGCGCTTGAACACGTCGTGCTCTGCCTCTTCCAACTGAAAGATAATATCGCCTGGTTCAACGTCAGGAATCTGGTCTCCTTCGCCTTCTAAAACGATCCTATCCCCTTGCCTACAGAGCTTTGTTAGCCAACGATAGTCCTACACCTACAGTGATTGTACGTACTTGGCGCCTCGCGGAATATAAATTTCCAGCAATTTCCGTTCTTCAGTAACTCTTTTGCCTTTGCATTTCTTGCACTTGTCCTTTGCCTGAAAAAATTTTCCGGAGCCTTCGCACACTTTACACTCCGCCGTGGCGCGAGTGACGAGGCCGGGGCCAATCTGCACGAGGGTCTCCTTGTGGCCTGTTTCGCAACATTAGCGAGAAAAACAGCCTAATCCTCAAAACGCTCACCTTGTCCATCACATGCTGAACATGTTTTTGGAGTAGCCCTCTCCTTTCCACCCCTACCCTTGCAAAGGCTGCAGATAACGTTTTTGGTACTGGCAAACTTGACAGTTCGGCCTTTGTATAGATCTTCCAGGCTTACGGTATACGTCTGCTCTTCGTTTGGACCCTTCTTGGGCTTTGGGGCTCCCGGACCATAACCAGGCATTCCTCCTCCCATTCCCATGCCGAACATAGAGTTAATTATATCGTCGAGATCGGGACCTCCCATGCCGGGACGACCCGACCCGTCAAACGCCGACATGCCGTGGGTATCGTAGATATGTCGTTTCTCATCGTCATGGAGAATGTCATATGCCTGGCTAACGGACTTGAACTTGACCTCTGCGGCTTCACGTTCGGACTCTGGGGCCTTGTCTGGGTGACTAGCGAGGGCAGCCTAAGACAACGCGAAAGGGGTTAATATGTGAAATATACATACAAAACCGGGATTTCCAGGTGGTATATACCTTTCTATAGGCCTTTCGGATCTCTTCTTTTGTCGCAGTTCTCTCAATACTTAGAACCTCTGAAAGCATAGTCAGTGGCGCTCACTCCTGTACAAAGGTTAGGGAATAAGTACCGTAGAGGTCGATCTCCTCGACCCCGGAATTCACTGCATATTAATTAATATAATAAGTTTCCAACAGCTGCTTGGTCCTCCAAGAGAAAGAGACTCCGACATGTCTTTGGCTCTCTTCACCGCAGCGGGGATCGGCGAAAGCTTACTGTTGAAAATTTTCGGATTTCACAGATATTTCGGATACACAAGAAAGCAAATTTATAGATGAAAAGCGGGTATCTCAAGTAGAGAAGTAGTAAATCTATCTCTGTCTTAAGGAGGGACGGAGGATAACCGTGAAAGAGAATGCGGAGGGACGGCGAGGAGCGGAGGCGGGAGGGTTGGAGGAGTTTGTCCGAGAGACCCTTCTGTTCAAACAAACAAATTTAATATTTATTATGAATATTTCAGTCTCGGCGTAAGAGCTTTCTAGCTTCAAACACTTCCGCCGCACCAACTGCCGCTACTCACAGACGAGAAAGGGAAACGAGGAATGGTTGTTAGCATGGGGAGTGGGCGGTGAACATTGATGAGATCAGACGAAAAACAGCTGTGATTTTTTTTTCCCCTTCATTGCTCTCCAACTGCACATCCCCTCACCCAACCAAAGCCGCGACAATGCGGCCTTCCGCCTCTCGGTTCTTTGCCCGGAGTCCATGGGTTTGCAAATCATGTAGGGCTAGTTTCTCTTCGACAACCACGCGCGCAGCAAAGAAAACCAAATCTCGCCTTCCTGACTCTCCGGCACGCACTCGTTTCGCCCCGTCTCCGACCGGATATCTCCATCTCGGATCCCTGAGAACGGCGTTATTTAACTACCTTCTCGCAAAGCGGACCGGCGGACAATTCCTTCTACGCATTGAAGACACAGATCAGGTCGGTGTTGCGCTTTCGGCTAGTTTGGAGCTTGGACATGGTACTGATTGGCGAAGAAAAGGACAATTCCTGGCGCAGAGCAGAGGCTGTATGAAGATCTACAATGGGCCGGTCTCCAGTGGGACGAAGGTATAGTTTTGTGACAAGACTTGGGTCCATACTTCAATCTACGGAGGAGCTTACACCCATCCATAGGACCCGTTGTAGGTGGACCGTATGGCCCTTACAGACAGGTAGGCAATCACCGCTAGCCATGACGCCAGTTGTACTCTACGACTGACATTAACTTGGATTCCCGCAGTCTGAACGGACGGCATTGTACAAATCCCAGGCGGAAAACCTCATCTCCACAGGCCATGCATATCGGTGCTTTTGCTCGTCGGAGCGCCTTGACAAGCTCGCGAGACATCGACATGATCTCGGCCTCGCCCCTGGATACGATGGCGCTTGCATTGATATATCAAAAGAAGAATCAGAGGAACGGGCTGCAAATGGGGAAGCCCATGTCGTTCGATTGCGAGTTGCAGAGTCCTATCCCATGTTTGAAGACATAGTATACGGCAAAACCGGACAGAACCGCGCAGGGAATGGTGGCAAAAAAGCTGAACTTGTGGACACGTTCGTTGATCCTATCCTGCTGAAGTCTGACGGATATCCCACGTACCATCTTGCAAACGTTGTGGACGACCATTTTATGAAGATTACTCACGTTATTCGGGGCACGGTATGGTGGTTGATTCACTCTCCAAGCGAACTTATCACTAACGAAAATCGCAGGAATGGATGTCCTCAACTCCGATGCATGTAGCTTTATACAATGCCTTCCAATGGCAACCACCCAAGTTCGGCCATGTCCCGCTCCTCGTTGAAAAGAACGGCCAAAAGCTCAGCAAACGCAACGCAGATATAGATATCGCGCATTTCAGGGATAAACAAGCGGTGATGCCGGACACGTTGGTCAATTTTGCTGCGTTACTAGGCTGGTCCCACCTACGGAAATCAGATGTGTTTAGTCTGAAGGAGCTAGAAGAGATCGTATGCATTTCCCCTTATCCGTTCTCTGCTCTTAGCACTACTAATGCTAGAACAGTTCGATTTGAAAATCACTAAGGGCAATACGACTGTAGCTTTTGAGAAGCTCTGGTTCTTGCAAAAATCCCATGCCCAGCGGTATGCAGCGACGGGCGGACCGAAGTTTGATGAGTTGGTTCGGCTCGTGTCAAATGCTGCCGAATCAGTATATACTCCCGAGCAATAGTCAGTCTCAAAGTCTCGAATGTTTCCCATGCCACTAACACGTACGCAATAGTTCTCCTATCCTGAAATCCCGGAATCTCAAAGAATATGTTTCTTCGATTTTACGCGAGGGCCCTCGCTCTTATACAAATCCAACCGAATTCATCAACGTCAATAAATCATTCTTCACTCAAACTATCGATAGGCCAGCTTATACTCCCGCCACCACCACTTCCAGCGGGGATGAATCAACAAAGATCCCCATTTCAGCCCTTCACACTGCTGCAGCTGCCCTCTCCATGGTTCCTGCATCGCACTGGAACTCAGAGACACACCGTGCCAACATCGAGGCATATATGTACACAGATCCCTCCCCTGAACTCGGACCTAAAGAGCAAAAGACATCACAGCAGCTTTTTAGAAAAGAACTATATCACTATCTACGATGGGCCTTGTCGGGCGGCGCTCCCGGGATAGGTATACCATCGACCATGGAAATCCTCGGTCGGGAGGAGAGTGTCAAACGGTTAGACGAAGCGAGGGAAACAACAAAGTCATTAGCTTCGGCGGAGAGGAGAGACATCAGGCGCCCCATGGATCAGAAGGAGAGCGACAAAGGTAGTAACGAGTGGATGGGTTCGTTGGCCGGAGCCGCAAAATAGGTTTTTCTGGGAGAGAACAAAGATGGACGACGGAGACTTTAGCGGGAGTGGGAGGCTTGACGGAGCTACATCTGGTATTATAGAGAGCACTTATCATAGTTGTACGATTAAAATAGACGATGTAATTTAAGCCCACCTGCCGCATCCATTGAGCTTATGCGATCGCCATCGAGATCTCCTATTTAACATTATGCCCATATTATTCCTTAGCGCCCCAGTGTAAAAGGCGGGATCTGCGCCAAAATCGCACACCTATTCCGGTAGTTTGTGCTGAGAATTTTCCGGCCACAGCGGCGTCATCCAGCAGAGAGGTCTGAGACCTTGCCAACCGCCCCTCCAAGTTCCACGCCGGACTTGAACGAGTCTTGGGGTTCCGAGAGCATGAAGATGTCCTTTGGTGGCCTTAGCCAAAAGAGCCGTTTGTTTCCCTGGGACACCCTTAAACTGACTTGTTAGTAGGACTGCATTTTTTTCAAAGCCTCCCTAGTTCATTCAAAGGAGGTAATCCACTCCCGGCCAAATAGCGAGGGACTTATGAGCAAAGTCTTCAATTCTGACAATGCGGGTTTTTTTGGTTGTGAAGAGGGACTCCTTGTCTGGCGCGGGTCAATTGCGCGTGGAAATCGAAAGTTGAATTGCGTGTCAACGTGTTATGGCTTTTAACCAGATCCTGATTGATATAAACTGCGGGGTGGAGGCTCACTGAAACAGTCACATTGCATGTAGGAATTTGATAAATATTGAAGCTTTCAAAATTCAGGACATTTTGGTATTGATGCAACGGCCGATAATCAAGCCTAGGTGCAAAGTAGTTTAATATCTTAATTGAAGTATGAACACAGAGGGACATATATAAAGCTGTCCTGCTTTCTCTTCTGATTGACCCTTGAAGATTTTGTGAGAAAAGTGTAATAACGTTTGTAGTCAATCTTTTGGTGCTGACCTTGTGCACCCTGTCATAACCCGCGCCAAAATTAGGAAAAAAAAATAACAATTTTAATGGGCAGTTGAGCCAGACTCAACTAGGAGGAATCCTGAGGAGCCAATGCTTTGGTCTTGTCAGCACCTACCAAAGATAATAGGCAGGGTCTTGACGCATCAGCTGCTGGCCGATGCTATGATACATGGTGAATAGCCATCCGTAGTTGTCCCGACAGACAAAGCAATTGCTCAGTTGTGGCAATCTCTGGCGCTATGATAATTTCGATAGCATGTCCGTTGTTACTATTTATGCGTGCCATGAACCTCCTAGCAGTGTTGATCCACATTCTTGCCCTGGAGGAGGTACTGCCCCGGCTCTAGTCACGAGGATACCCTCGCGGAGTTGGGAACGAATTCCAGGCCAGCGAGCACAGGCCTTTGGATAGGCTCGCGACACCAAACCCTTTCACGGGTGGGACGAGGGTTGGGCCGCTGTGTGGAGTGGCAGGCCAGGAAGGAACGCCAATGATTGAGGCACCTCGGAAAATCCCCTGGAGCGGGAGAGGCCACACTCAACTTCTAAATCCCACCATTCTTCAAGTTGTAAGTTCATGCCAAACAGAATCTTTGTGCAGTCTCCCTTTCTTTCAGCAGTGAGTGTAAGGGATCCTTGGATCACCCGCCTGGGCCCATCAAGCTCTGTTCAGCGAGTGGGGAGCCGGAGGGGGTGATCAACCACAAAAAAGAACAAAACCCATTTTTTATGGATAAGGGAGCATATGGATATTTAGGGGCACTTCCCAGCCATAGAATACAGTCACTCCGGACGGAGAAACTGTCAGCGCTTCCAGCACCTCGTTTATATTCTTTGAGGCTGTTCTGCAACATGTGAGGGGAGTGGTCGGTGGCTATGAAGGACACAAGCATTTTGAGGCTTCACGTATGCAAAAGCTTAGCTGGAAGGCCTGGTAAGTGGTAGTAAATTTGTTAAGAGCTCATAATAAATCATATTTTTGAATAGCTGATTGATTGTGAGGAGGAGGAGAGGAAGAGAAGAGGATGTGGCGGCGAGGAGGTTGGGGGTTTATATAGGGGGCGATATCACGTGGGCCAAGGGTCAGCGCGCTCACTTTCCCGTCACTCGAAGGTGGGATTTCATTCACTCTAGATTCAGAGAGCTGCTGTGAATCCTGCATGTGGTGAGACTTACCGTTTACCAGTCACCCCATCCTCTCTTTATGTGAGCTGTAAGCGCTCATATGGGTAGCTTGTTATTGAATTCCACCTTGAATTCTCTGAAAGACAGATAGAGTTATAAGACACCATTTTTATGTTATATAAATACAAGTCCATGTAGACACCTATGTTGATACAATCACGAACCAAGAGCAAGATACCACCACTCCTTCACTGTCCAGCCTCCCTTAGCTTTGGCATCATCTTCCATGCCATCTTCTCTCACATGCCGAACGGCTCCCACAACATATAGCCACTGCAGGACCAACTCTACCTCCCATGTCCCAAGATATGGCTGCATGATTCGCCCGATAGTATCTGCTCCAGCACCTGGGATAGCGGCCAATAGTCCCACAACAGCCCCAACCGCGAGCTCCCACAGTAGCTTTGAAAATTGTCCGTGTACATCTACCCAGAGTGGAACCTTGGGAAGAGTCGACGAGGTACCGAACTCGCTCACGGTTATATCCGTATTGGGTATTGGTGTCTGGTCGATCTTTTCCGCCAACGGATTGCCATATATGTATCTATCGGGGACCGGATGAATCTCCACGTCAAAGCGCAACTTCGTCTTATCCATCATTCGAGTGAGATACCCACGCTCCGTGAGCCCGTATTTGTTTCGTGGCGGGTTTAGCGGCTGGATCGTAACGCGTCCCTGTGTTGCCAGGTTGATCATGACCAGAATGTCACCGTCGTCTGCCCCATATTCTAGTTTGTATTTTCCTTCTGATTGAATCGCAGGGTCCAAAATGGCGAGCTTAAAATGTAGCGCTCGTCTCAACTGCACCGCCTCAACCGCTCGTTTGCGGCCAAATGCATGCAGAAAATGCTCAGTGACATCGTAGTTCCGGCCTGGGGTGACCTTTCCACGATTACTCATGGATATAACGCGCTCCGTGATCAGGGATTGTATTGCCTCCCCAATGAGCTCTTCACCAAAGCGCTCGAGAATTTGCCGAGCCTCAGTGGGCCGGTATGTTTCTTCCGTCGTGATTACGTTGGCGCGAACCCAGGTTTTTGCAACTTCCAGGCGTCTTATCGACTCGGCTTTGTTATTCTCGCCTAGAGTAGAAACAGTATTTGGGCGCTTTTGACCAACAGGAACTGAAAACGGTACGTTGGCATATAGTGTCCGTTTCCGTGGAATCGTAGTTTGCGCATTGTGCTGGTACAGCTCGTCAATATCAAGCATCTGCTCTGTTCGAACGTCGAAGATGCTGACGAACTGTTCGTGAGTCGCTGGAAGGCTTGGAACCTTCTGGAGACTAGGCCTTTCAAGCTGTTCCTCTGCCCAGTTAACCACCGATTCCCAATCGTACTCTTGCAAATTGTTGTAGTCGATGTTCGGCACAAGGTCATTTTCGTAGGCTTCAATGTAACGCTCTTGAAAATCCCGCTGCATCTTAGCCATCTGCAGCCTATGCCGCGATACTATACTTTTACCACGATCTTGGATGAATTTCGAATCATAGTCGGGGAAAACAGACGTGACTAACGGCCAGTCGATCAATTTGCCCTCTAAACCTCCTGCCAACGTGCGTACAACCACTATCGCGACAGTGAGCTTTTGAGCGATCCGCTGAGGGAAATCTTTTGCATATCGAACGCGCTTGAATATGCGATCCACGGATTTTACCGCTCCTTGCGCGGCCTTCGTGGTTTCCTGAAGCTGCGTGAGACGTCTACCAGATTGAGCATCTGCTCTCTGTGGCTGAACAGAGCCCTTTTGAGGCATCCAACCTAAGGCTAACGGTTTATACCGAGCGGGAAATGCTTCCATGATAGCGCGAGATGTTGCCAGTCGAGTTACCGGTGGCTCCATGGGCTTTCGCTGTTGAGGAGGGGGCTGATCAATCTCGAAACGAATTGGGCCTTCTAATGGGGCGCTTTCGAAGGGTCCAGGGATTGCATGGTCAATGTATCTCAACATCTCATCCGGTGGGCCATCAGGAAATTCATTCCTTAGTTCCCAGTCCCTAACGGTATCTATATCGGAGAAGAAGCCGGTTGAAGCTGGATCTGCAACGTTAGATAAGTCTACGCTGCGTTTCCTCGATGTAGATAAGATATCATTCAACCCATTCGGTAGAGATTCTAGTTTCGGCATTGCCGCTTTTTTCCTATAGCTGCGCCTCCGCCGGGTCATGTAGCACACTCCGGTTCCAAATGTCCCGGTCGCTGCATTGAATGTCTGAGGTGGTGACATGAGCATCAAAAGTAGGCTAGGTTTCCAGTTTGCGCCAAATACCATACCAGCGTAACCTTCGTCAAGAGGCCAGGGCCTGAGAACAGGAGGCCTGGCGATTGCTGGAGCATACGGTGCAGGGATCGAAAGAGAATCCAGGAAGGGACTCGTAGACGGCATTTTTTGAAGACTTTTGAGCCGTCGAACCCTTCTGTAGCATTCACCAGCTCCAAAATCCCCGCGTCCGAATGAACGGCCATCTTCAATGAACCGAAGGGTACGCGGCTTGGGTTGCCGTGGGCGGAATTTGGCTGGAATATAATTCAATGTGACCCGAACTTCATTTTCGACCTCAGGTAGCTTTAAGTCATGACCGGCAAAGCCTTTGTGTGACTTCTTCAGAGATGGATCAATGGTGGCCTTGGGGTGTAGATACAGTTGAGGGTCCGCGCTGAGCATGGCGCTTTGCAAGTCCCGAATCATGGGATCCATCGAGTCTATATCTGGCTTGGCGATTAGGCTCTTTGTCACCATAAGCCCTTTGGAGTTCTTCCCACTAAAAGTGAGCTGTCGAAGCTTTCCGGCGTCAACCAACGATTTAACGGCGGATCTGATTGTGCGCATGTCAGGCTTCTCTGTCCTTGTTTTGAGCCAGACAGTGCTGAAAGGATACCACAGCTCAGTACCTAGCGGGTGAGCTCCTCCGCACTGTTCTATGATGTCCATTACAATCTTTCGTCGCTGGAATGCAATGGAGCCTCCTCTGGAGTCCTTCTTGACACTTGATTTTGAGGTTTCGTCTTTGGCCTCGGATGGAGCGACGCTGGAAGGGACAGAAAGTGGTTTCGTTTCCAATGCCTCTATGGACATATCGGCGTGTGCCCCGTTAGCCTTAGTTGCCTGGCCTCCAGATCCGGTCGGGACCCCAATCTCGTCCCTAGGTACGCTTGTATGTATTTCCATCGGTATTACTTCGAATTGCTCTTCCTGAGTTGGTGCGTGGAGTGTGCCAGGGGGTACAACCGGTGAGTCAACATCATGCTCTTTGGACTTATTGCGTTGTGTAGTAGCGGTCGGAACCGAGTTGGAGCTCTGTTGAGCGGCCAACTCTAAATCCAACGGATTTTCATCTACAACTTCACCAGAACTGTCCTGGGATTGAGCAAGAGTATCTGCCTTCCCATTTTGGCTTCGTTCCAGTACATAGTTCAGTTCAACGTTCGGCGCTGACCCTTGTTGCTGTTGTAGTTCACCGTTAATATCGGTGATATTCTGCGTCCCGCTCGAAGCGGAAGCATCAGCACTAGCATAGACATCTTGTGCGATCTGACGAGGCTTAGAGTCACGCGTGAAACGGCGCTTTTTCGGAGGTCTACCCCTCCGCGGTTTCTCAGGCACTGTTTGGGCCTGGCCGGGGTTGATATCGTCAAGGCTAGACGGCTTTCGCTTTCTAGCAGACCTCTCAGTTATGGCACTAGCGCTATCCGCGTCACGAGGGGTGGCCTCCGTCGAGGCCGCAAGTTGGCCGTTTTGCTCCTCGGGAAGAGAATCTACCATAGAATCTCTTATCTTGTCAATAGATCTATCCACCGACGACCTCTCGCTTAGCCGGCTACTAGAGCGCGGGGCGGCGGCCGCTGCAATCTCTTTAGCTCCAGAAGACCGTGTCAGTCGCACTGACACAGGTTCGTTTTCAGAGACCCCAGCTGTCGTTTCATCGGCGAACCAGCTGAACTCGTTCAGCCTTGGTAATTTGAAAATTGCAACGCGACTCCGGGCTGGACGGCCTTGCCTCATCCCAAAAGCCCTTCTTTTGCCAACTGGCGTTAAATAAAGACCAGGAACTGGTCTTTCGAGTGTTAGAGTACTGTATGCTGTCCAGCTTTCGTCGTAGCCCTTGGCTTTGAGTCGGTCCAGCTCCGACATCTGTTCAAGATCGTTCATTTTCTTTCTTCGCTTAGATTTATGCATATCGCTAACCACAGGAATCTTGCTCATCTCTTCCAAGTCTCTAAGCCCGGCATCGGGTGCCGTACGTTTAATTCCGTCTTTGATGTCGCTTTGTAGTCCTGCTGAGACACTACGTGATATTGCTCTCGTGGCGTCTTGTGACCGCCATCGGCTTCCAAATCGAACGCCTTTCCATCAAATTAGCATACTTTACGTTCTGGGTATTATAAAATGTTACTTACCAAATGTGCCGTCACGGAGACACACCACAGCCGGGTCACGGTGCGTAACAACATAGTCGTTGGGCTTGGCAGATTCTAAACACTCTCGGAGAGTAGCATTTCCTTGCTTTACGAGATTTGGGGGCTCCTTTGTGATCACAAACCCATGTGCGTCGAGCTCAGGCTTTGCATCAATCGGAGGAGGACGAGTTGCACCTTTCTTAACGGGGGTTTCGACGGCTTCCCAAGAAGCTTGGCCATCTTCAACGAGTGCTGCGAAATTTCGGACGGAGTACTGAACAAAGTAGGAAATGGTGCCACGAAGGGCCGTATCGCGGACCAAAGACAGATGTCGTAGATGGAGAGGTTGTGAATAT